TCCCACCAGAGGACCTTTGTGCTTCCTGCTTCTCCTTCCTCCATTTCCACGTGGCTAGCGCTCTCACTCATCCAGATTTCTGTCAGGATATTCACCTAGCAGAGAGGCTTTACTACTACCCTATTTAGTAAGTACTTCCTCTTTCACTTTCTCCTCACCCTGCTCTATTTTTCTTCATAGTTATTTGGACTTATCTCCTGAAGAAGGTGTTTACTGCTTTATATCCAGAACCTAAAACAAGTCCTGCGTAATATATACTCAGTGGATATTTGTTGAATGAGTGGATTGATTTATACTGCCAGTATACAATCCCATGCTAGTAAAAGAGGGGGAATTGGCATGTAGTCACATAGTAGGTAACCAACAATTTTGAATGCAAATACTGCCCTGACCTTAAAAAAACTCTGTTAACTTAGTCATTCATTAAATGTTGAATGCTTATGGTGTTCCAGGCACTATATTTGACACTGGGAATTCAAATATCTGTAAATGCATATGATCAAATGCATTTAGACTTCATATATCCTTAATATCACAGTGCTCATTTGCATATTACAAGTTTTAAGAAGCCCTGCTGTAACTATGTAACTTTGTTGAACACAGCAGTCTTCTAATTTTTTTTGACATAAAATTTTTTTTTGAAACCTTTCTTTAAATTCTTTAGACTCAGACAATTGTTGACCAATAGTGGTGATGGGGGGGAGAGGTGGGGCATAAGAGAGAGGACGGAAGGGACTGTGTCTGTGAAAGAAGAGGTGTTATCAGTAAATATGAGGGGTAATAACTTCTACTTTTGTTATTAAATTTATCATATGACTACATTTAGGAAGAAAAATCTTTATGTCTGAAAATGCCAAAAAGGCATTTGAAAAATCCAGTGTCATTTCCTGATTTTTTAAAAAAGTTAATAAAATAGGAATAAGTGGATATTTTTCAAACAAAATTGCGTACACATAAAATACTTGATTAATTTCCACGAAAACAAGCAATAAAGTAAGATGCTTTTAACTGCGGGTATTACTGTGTAACACTGTATTGGCAAAATTAATTACCACGTTCAATTAAGAAAAAATAGAAGCCCAAAACATTGGAAAGAAAGAGGGAAAGCTATTTCTGTGTATAGGTGATGTGAAAGTGTATGTTGAAAAGCCAAGAGAATCAGTAACAGAACATCTCTACAAAAGATTAACTGAAATAGCAGGATATAAAATTAGCAAACAAAAACCAATGCTTTCTATATATACAAACTAATGAAAATAGTGAATAATTGAAAATATGGTATAAGAGAAGTCTCCATTTCCAATAACATCAAAAAGATAAAATATTTAAGAAATATTGCTCTAGCTGGTGTGGCTCAGTGGGTTAAGCACCGGCCTATGAACCAAAGCGTCACTGGTTTGATTCCCAGTATAAGGCACATGCCTGGGTTGGCAGGCCAGATCCCCAGTAGGGGGCTCACGAGATGCAACGATACATTGATGTTTCTCTCCCTTTCTTTCTTTCTCCCTCCCTTCCCCTTCCTAAAAATAAATAAATAAAAAAATTTTTTTTTCAAAGAAATATGCCAAAACTATAAGAGAACACATTCCTGAAAAACAAAAGTAGACTTGAACAAATGGAAAGTCATTTGCTATTTTATGTTTATGGGTAGAGTGACATAACAAAGATTTTGTTTATCTCCATCTTAATGTGTAAGTGAATTCCAGTTCCAATAAAGTTTTTCTTTTTCTGTTACTAGACAAGTTGATCCTAAAGGTCATTTGGAAAAATAAACAAGTTAGAACAACCAAGAAACCCCTGAAAAATAAGTGATAAAGGGTCCAACGCCCCCCCCCCCCCCCCCCCCCCCCAGGTTTTAAATTACAAAACGTCTAGAATTAAAACTGCGGGCAGGGAGGATATATGAGAACTCTCCCCATTTTCTGTTCGGTTTTGTCATGAACTTAAAACTCCTCTAAAAAATAAAGGCAGCTGTAAACACAATTGTATGGCATGATGAGTGGACAGATATATTGCCCAATGGAACAGAGTGAAATGTCCAGAAATTATAGAAATTTAGAATTTGATAAAAGCATCTCAAATCCCAGAGGAAAAAATATGGGATGACTAGATAAGAGATAAAATTGGTCTATACCTCACACTGTATTCCAAGAGAAACTATAAATAGATAAAAAATATTACTTTTCTTCTTTTCTTGTGTTTTAAACTTTATATTTAAGATAATTTTAGATTTGTGAAAAATGTACAAAGAATTTTCATATATCCTTTACCCAGATTCCCTAAGTGTTATTTGCTATGTGCCTTGTCATTCATTCATTCATTCTTTCTTTGAGAATCATTTACCTAGCATGATTTACCTCACCCAAGGCCAAATCTTCCTGGAAGCAGCATGCATCTTTACCTGAGTGACTACTTCAGTGCTCCAGCAGAGACTTTGATAGGCCTGCACTGCAATTAGACATCTCCTCTGTTTCCTCCCTTTGCTTTCACATATGTTGATCCCAAGTAAATATTTTGTACCCCACATTCTGTTTCAACACCTGATTCCAGAGAAACTCAGTATCTTTGTGGGGAAATCTGTTCCTGATTTCTTGCACTTACTCTTTTTTAGCATCTCTGAGGACTCTTGCTTGAAACAGTTAATGTGTTGGTTGCCAAATGGTGATTTTTCTAATTCTATGATTTCTCCTAAAAGAATTCTACATAAGGAAGAGGTTTCCCGCCTTCCTGTTTTTAGTTATTCATTTAAAGATTTTATTTATCTTCAGAGAGAGGGGAAGGGAAGGAGAAAGGGAGAAAGATGTATGTGCGAGTAAAACACTGATCAGTTGCCTCTTTTACATGCCCCTAGCTGGGACTGAACCTGCAACCCAGGCATGTGTCCTGACTGGGAATCCAACCCGTGACCTTTCGCTTTGCAGAACTATACTCAACAGACTGAGCTACGCCAGTCAGGGCCATTTACTCATTTATATCTGCATGCTCTCATAGATTCTTCTTTTATGGGTTATAATCTTATCATTTATTTTGTTGCTCAGACTGCCCCAGACTTGATGGATAGGATCTGTTTCAGTTTGGTTTCTTTGTCCTTTTGACATGTCCTCATCATTTATTTCTTCCTTACTTTTTAGCAACATGATTTTTTTAGGCTTGTCTGGTACTTTTTCTGCCCCTGGGCCCTGCCATTTCAAAGTAGACCAAATCTGAATGTAAAAAATAAAAACATTCAAGTACTAGAAGAAAATGTGAGTAGATGATCTTATAACCAGGGACTAAGGAAAGCCCAATTGGCGGGGGGTGGGGGAAGGATAGGTGACATAAATAGATAGTTCAGAGTAAAAATAAAAATGAAAATGGCTTATAAAAAGATGCTTACACTCACTTATAAGACAAATGCAAAGTAAAATTACCCTGCAGTACCAAAATTTGAAAACATTTTTGTTGGGTATACTGTAGAGAAATAGGCAGTCTCATGCATTGCTGGTAGGAGTGTAAAATGGTGCAACCCTGTAATGAGGATTTGGGTGATAAGTAGACAGGCTTACTTTTTGTCCAGGAATCCCACTATTGGGATCTACACTGAAAATAAACTTCCGTAAATAACACATGCATAAGGTTATTTATTGCCACATTGTTTGTAGCAGCAGAAGACTGGAGACTACCCAGATGTCTATCAATAGAGGCCTGATTGTATTACTGGAACCCGGACACAATGGAGTACTGTGCAGTGCTGTACAGGCAAGCCATGGTTGTGTCTATGTACTCATGTGTAGTGATAAAAAAACATGGTCCACATGGAATGGTTTATAAATGGAGAAATTGGAAATACAGGGTGGGTAAAAGTAGACTTACAGTTCTGAGTATGCAAAACAGTTTATTCTTATATTATTATTGATTAATTATTGTATTATTTTCCATACAAACAACTGTAAACCTACTTTTGTCCCACCATGTATATACGTACTTGCTTATTTTGCTAAAAGAAAATATAAGAAGGATAAAACAAATAGTAATAAAAGTGATTATTTGGGATGGGGAACGAAAGCCAGGCTTTTCCAAGTACCTTTTTATATAACTTTGACTTTTAAAACTGACATTTTATGCATATCGAAACAATAAAATTAAAACAGCAAGGGGAAAAAAGCAAGCTGTAAAATTTGAGATCATCAATGAACTTAATTTATTAAAGTATTTCTTTTTTCTTTTGTTTTTTCCTTTTCTTTTTTATTTACTAATTTGAGAGAGAGAGCAAGAGGAAGAAAGAGAGAGAGAGAAACAAGGATTTCTTGTTCCATCCATTTATGCACTCATTGGTTGTTTCCTGTATGTGCCCTGACTGGGCATCGAACCAGCAACGTTAGCGCATCAGGATGACACAGTAACCAACTGAGCTACCTGGCCTGAGACTCAAGTCACTTTTGAACATAGTACTCCTTAGTGGGATATACTTTAAAGCCAAAACAAAATAAAATTAAAAAGCTACAAAGAAATCTTAACTAGTATGCAGTTTTAAAAACTATTTTATGTATATTTTAGGATTAACCAAATAAGTAAATTAATTAGGAACTAAGATTTTCATTGTAAAAGCAAAGAGGTACAAATATTACGCCAAAAAAATTGAGCAAACACTTATTAAGGTATGTCATGAACTAATTAAGTAACTATGAGTGCCACAGAGGAGAGTCCTGTTCAAGGTAGCACTAAGGAAAGAGCTAAAGAAACAGCACAAATATAGCCATATGGATACACCTAAAATGAACAAAAGTCTGAAAAAAATGTTTAATGTGATTGCCGTGTCAATGATAAAGAAGAATTTGAGTGTTAGCATTTTCGTGTTTTTAGGATTTTTTTAGTGCAACTCTGAAGTCACATTAATGTTTACATTTTATAACTAAACTTTATTTTTATGAAATGATATTAAGATGAATAGTCAACCTCTGATAAAATTTATGTACAAAATGTTTAAAGTATATTAATTCACTATTTTTCTTCTATCATAGTTACTCTTTCTGGAAATGGAGAAAATGGTAAGGCACTTTTATTCTCAATTTAAGTAGACTACTTATGGTATCATAACTGCAACCAACATTCTTTTTATTTAGTGATGACTGTGTGGGTTTGGTTTTGTTTTGTTTTTTCAGAAAGACAATATATATTTTTTAAGTTTAAGCTGTTAAAATGAGATGTAATACTGGATTCATTTCTATACATTCAGTATATTCTCTTTTGCATTATTTTTATAAGTTGAAATAGTTGTTATTTTGTGAGGCATCTCGGACCCAAACTTCTTTGATGTACATATTTCTGCCTTGTTGGTTCTTCAGAACTCTATGGTAATAATTAAAAGATATTTAATATCTAGGGTGGAGAAAGGGATTTGATTTTCTCATGTTTATACATTTGTTAAAAATAGTTCTTTACTACTCACAGACATTTAGTTAAATAGACTATAAATTTGTAAATTGTATTACTAGTTCGTTTTGAAAGGGAATTGAAAGTTTTTATCATGACTAGTCAAAAACAATGACTAGAGGGAAAAATATTTGCTCAGAATTTGCTGAGATAAAATTTAAGGTGTATTGAGATCAAATTTCAGGAATAAAATTTGATTTGAGATAAAGAATTTCTAGAATAGTTGAACAGTTAGAAATTAATATTTATTCTTATTACTGGAAATAATTAGGCATTTACAGTGTAAATCTCAAGTTGCCTTTGAATCTGATTTGTCAGTAACAGAATAAACAGATTCGATCTTGTTATACTTGTTTTTCTTTTAAATCAGAACTGTGTCCCATGTGTTGAATGAGCCTTCTCTTAGACTTTCAGTGGCTGAAGTGGTTATTTGAATAACTCTAGTCAGATAAGGTTACTAGAAAGTCCCAGAGTTTTAGAATGCATTCATTACCTATACAGGTGGAGTTACTTTCCAGGAATTTCACTGCCAAAGGGTGGGTCTTTAAACAACACATTTTACACTGTCCACTGAGATGGGTTTGGAAGCAAGAGAGATTGGACTAGGGAGACCAGGTGGCTTTTGCATTAATCCAAGTGAAATAAGCAACAGTTTATGAACTGTTGCGCTGGAAGTGAAAATAATGAAAAGTTTACTTGAAAGAGATTTTAGGAGCTAGAATTTGAAGTACTTTTATTGATGAGCTGTAGGATGTGAGGAGTCATGAGCCCTGGCTTCCTGCATGCTTCCTGCCTGTTTCTTGGACCAGGATAATTGCAACAGAAAATGCTGGAGTCCAAGAAGTTGTCAATTTTTTATTTAAAAAGACCATTTTTAAAACCAAAAACATAAGGAAAAATAACCTTAGGCCAAAGGAAGAACAGTACTTTGAGCTGAATACATGTTAGCTTTATAAAAACTTTACCACGTCCTTTATGTTTCTCATTTCACTGTAGATCAGTGAAAACTTTGATTAGTCCTTCACTTTGGGAAATGCTGAAAGAGAACACAAAAAAGAACCACCTTTTGTAAACAAATTAAGATGCCTGGATAGTAATAGTAGTCAGTATTTATTGAGGATTTATTATGTGCCAGGCACTGTCCTAAGTGTTTTGCATTTATTACCTCATCAATTTTAAGCAACTAACTTTAATGAATCAAATTAAGTGGTTTAATTGGAGTCTGAGCAAATTATTTAGAGAGTAGAGTATGAGGGTGTAATGAACTCTGGAGGTAATGGAGAAGGCATTTGTGGAAAAAATAGTATTTGGCCTGAACTTCAAAATTAGTAGAACTTCAAACTTTAAAGCTTGTTTATGCTTTGTTTTTTCAGTGGGTTTGTGCTGGTAAGTTCCAAATTTAGAATTTAAGCACCTGATAGACAGTTTGCTTCTTGTGGAAAACCAGTCCCATTTCCTACATAGAAAAACTACAGAACCCAACAAAGAGCTTTAAGTTATTTCAGTGAGTTAATATTTAGAGATAAAGATGGTGGAGTGTTTATATTAATCCACTTGGGAAACAGTTATGGCAGAAATTCAAAGTGGCTAAAATTTTTTTGGTTACTCTCCTAAAAAGGAGAATACAATTTGCAATACCTTTCCTGAACAATCCGGGGATTGAATTTTTCTAATGCATTGATTATTTGCTGTGATAGGAACTTCTTTTATTTATTTTCAGTTCATTTTTTATTGGATTTAATGTTCATAGTAATGGAATCTGTTTTAAGTCATTTAAAATCTAACTTTAGGAAGAGCTTTGAAATGCCATCAGTGAAAGAGGTGTTTTCAACTTAAATCTTCAGCAACTCAATAAAATCAAGTCTCATCTCAGACTAATCTTATAATACTTATATACCAGAATGATAATTCATAAATACAAAATGCTCCTTCATATCTCTGACTTTACCTCATGCAGATTAAGGACCTAATATATTTGATGTCTTTAGTATGTTTTAATTTTTATTTTTTTGTTAGATTAAACCCTTGACCGTAAATATTGTGTTTTAACGTAATGCTTTTTCCTGTTTTCACCAGGATTCAATGAAATGTTGTTTTTATTTACCAGGAAAGGCCGTTGTTTACCTTGTGGCTTTTCATCTGTTCTTTGTTATGTTTGTATGGTCCTATTGGATGACAATTTTCACCTCTCCCGCTTCCCCCTCCAAAGAGGTAAATTTAATGTTGGTAAATTGACAAATGCTATAATTAATTATGGAATTATTTTTCCCTGTGTTACCTTTGTTAAAACTGTATTACATGATGCATTTGTTCTGTTTCCATTCATAGAAGTGCTTGTTTATTCTGTATTGTGATGTGATCATCAGCCTATTCTCAGACAGAACCCCACTAACATAGGATGAAGATTAATGATGTGTTAAAGTTTCTGTACTAATATTCCTCTGCCATGTTATATTTTCTTAAAGACATACTTTATATCACTGGAGTAAAATAATCTTAAGGGACAGAAAGGAGTTAGGAAAGTGGGGTTTACTTTTAGAGTGCTTTTAACATTTATATTTTCTCAGGCCTGAACAAATATGCTGCAACCAAAGAGAGTGATTTGATTGTGAGAACAGATTGTCAAGGCTGTTGCTTGTTACACCTTATTCTGGCTAGTTGAAGGTTCCACCTGGAAAATAAGGTGACTGAACATTCACTTGGAGCAAGTTTCAAGACCAATGTCTCTCTCTTGCCTTGACATCACCTGAATTCTCCTTTACCTAGAGTTTAGTATAGCTAGATGTTTAAGAACATATTCCCTAGGGTTAGGATCATCTGAGTTTGGTTTTTCCACTGTAACACATTGCTTAATGAATCTGAGCCTAAGTTCCTCATTAGAAAATGAAGTTAATAGAAGTGCCTGTCTCTGTAGGATGTTTGTAAGAATTAAGTGAGATTCACTCATGTAAAGCTTTTAATATAGGACCTGCCACACGGTTAGCACTCAGATATTAGTGATGGCAATAGTGTAATTATTTCTCTTCATACTAAATTCTTTAAAAATTATAGATCAGATATTTTAAAATACCAAATTCCATTTAACTTTTTATAGAAGAGCAAATATGCAGAAAAGTATACATACCATAAGTGTACACTTGATGAATTTCCACAGACTGAACACACTTGAGTGTCTAGCACCCTGGTCAGAAGCAGAACATTATGAACCTCCCATAGCCTCATACTTTCTTCAACTCACCCACTTCATGGGAGCCACTCCAGCAGCACTGATTGGTTTTGTTTGTCTGGTACTTCGCATAAATGGAGTCACACAGGACAGATGCTTGTGTGTGTGGCCTCTTTCATTAACATCCTATTGATGAGATTTGCCCATGTTGTATACAACTGTGGAATGTTCATTCTCATTGGTTATATTTAGTTGTGGTTTATAACATAGTTTATATGCCTGGTGTGCTGTTGGTGGGCACAGACATCTGGGTAGCTTCCAAGTTAAGGTCACTACAAATAGGGCTGCTGTGAACAACCTTCAGGTGCACAGACAAATGCATACACACATGCATGTGCACATACATGTAGTTCTTTTGGGTTGATGTCTAGGAGTAGAATCTCTCAATCATAAGTTGTGTATATATTGAACATTAATAGGTAATGCCAAACATTTTTGCCTGTATTATTATGTGCTTTTAAAGGGTATTATAAACTATTAAAAAATCTTAGTGTTTCTTCAGATATATTCTCCAGACATTTGGTAATAACCAGCTCTTAGAGTTATGCCATCCATATCTTAATGTCTAAGTTGAAAAGGACCTCATTTTATTTAATCAATTATTAGTCGTGATGGCTACTGAAAACATAGCATGCATGAGAGTTAAGTTCTCATTACAAGAAATAAAAAATAGAAAAAGAAAAGCAATTGGTAATACTTTTCAGAAGCAGTAAAAACTCAGACTAGCTCCAGACTGTCAGGTTCAACTCTTATCTCTGCCACTGAACAGCCATGTGATGGCAGAGACTTTGCTTAGCTGTCTGTAGCTCAGACCTCTTCTCTGTAAAATGAGGATGACAGTAGTACATATCTATGGGGTTGTTGAAAGGGTTGAGTCAATTAATAGTATATGTGATTAATAAATTTATAGTAATACATAATTAATACTGTATATAAAGTGCTTCAAAAAATGCCTAGCACACTAAAGTGGCACAATAAATGCCATCTAAATGTCATTGTCTTTTGTGGTGGATGGTTTTGGCACATATCATACCCAGGGCTTAAGTCTTTATAGCCACTGATTCCTAATTTCTGCAAGTTTAGCTGCCTTCCCAATTCTGCATCCAGGGCCCTGCTTGGCTCATCCTACCTTCATTGTCATGGCTATATTATAGAGCATTGTGATTGCCTGTTTTGCTTGTATGTATCATCCTGTTAAACTTTCAGCTTTTTGAGGGAAGGGATAATTTCTGTCATGTTCTCCACTGGATTCCTCTCCCCACCTTTTAGCACATAGTGGGTATTCAGTAATTACTGAATGAATTAATTATTAAATCATTAAGGGCCAGCTAAGCTAAGCTGCCTTGACAAGCAAGGACAGGAGTTTAAGGTTCTCTTTCGAAGTAAGAATACTGTGTGCTGACTGAGATACCCAATAAGTGATTACAAAGCTGTGAGATAGGTAACTGTGTTGAAAGGAATTGGAAAGTTCAAAGGTTAGAGCAACAATTAGGAATCAAAATCTAGGGGAATGAAGTGGGTCTAAAAAGCAAAAACTATATTTTTAGGAAAAGTTAAGTTATAAATGTGGGTATTTTCCTTCTTTCAGTCAGCAAATAATTACTGAGTATATGTACTATTTGTCAGACTGGTAGGCTGTGGGAATTAAAAAGCAAGACAAGATAGGGTCTTTACATTTAAAGGGAGAGGCAGATGATAAGTAAACAAATTATTATAAATTGTGATAAATTTAGAAAAAGAACTTCATTTGGTAGAGCATAACAAAGCTATTATAATAAAAAGCCATTTTAGGTAGTATGATCAAAGGAGTCTTCTCTGAAGAAGTGACAATTAAGCAGATTTTTTTTTTTTAAGATTTTATTTATTTTTAGAGAGGGGGAAAGGAGGGAGAAAGTAGGGGAGAGAAACATTGATGTGAGAAAGAAACATCATTTGGCTGCCTCTGGCACATGCCCCAAGTGGGGACCGAACCTGCAACCCAGGCATGTGCCCTGACTGGGAATGAAACCAGACACCTTTCACTTTGCAAGATGGCACCCAACCAAATCACACCAGACAGGGCAAGACCTTTGTTGTTTATTGCTACGTCCTCATAACCTAGAATCAGACCTAGTATATAATGGACAGATTGCTAAATGCATGAATGAATGAATGGTGAGGAGGAGGCAACATATGAAGAGCTGGTAGACATCTTCCATGACTAAGTGTCTTCTTTCCAAAAAGAAAATATGTTTCTTGAAAGAAAAAAAAAAAAGGAAATCCCAGGAAAATTTCCAGACAGATAGGATTTTTTAAAATTGATTTTAGAGCAAGGGAGGAAGGCAGGAAAGGAGGGAGAGAGAGAAACATCGATTTGTTGCTGTACTTATTAATGCATTTATTGGTTGCTTCTTGTATGTGCCTTGACTGGAGGTGAACCAGTAACCTTGGCATATCAGGATGATGCTCTAACTGAGCTACCTCGCCAGGGCCACTCAGATTTTTTTAAATTATTTTTTAAATTTTTATTACAATATCATATTAGTTTAAGATATACAACCTAGTGATTAGATACTTATGAAATGATCACCCCAATAAATCTAGTACACACCTGGTACCGTACAGAGTTATTATAATATTATTGACTATATTCCCTATGCTGTATTTACATCCCCGTGACTATCCTGTAACTACCGATTTGTACATCTTAATCCCTTCACTTTTTTCACTCATCCCCTCAACCCACCTTCAACTGGCAACCATCAAAATGTTCTATCTATGAGTCTGTTTCTATTCTGCTTGTTTGTTTTGTTTTTTAGATTCCACATATAAGTGAAATTATCTTACATTTGTCTTCTTCTGTCTGACTTGTTCCACTCAGCACAATTTCCTCTAGATCCATCAATGTTGTTGCAGATGGCAGGATTTCATTCTTTTTATGACTGAGTAATATTACATTGCATGTATGCACCACTTCTTTCTTTTAAATTTTCTTTATTTATTTTTAGAGAGAGGGGAAGGCAGGGAGAAAGAATTGAGCATCCTTACAACCAGTGTTTTGAATTCTGCATCTAGTGGATTGCTTGTCTCCATTTTGTTTAGTTCTGTTTTCTTGAATTGTATTGTGTTCATATATTTGGGCTGTGTTTCTTTGTCTCCTCATTTTGGCTTCCTCCCTGTTTTTGAATTAGGTAGAGTTGCTGTATCTCAGTCTTGGTAGGGTAGCCGTATATATTATGGTTAAGTGTCCTGTAGGGCCTATTGACACAGCTTTCCTGGTCATTGGAGCTGAGTGCTAATGTGAGCTGTGTGCACCCACCTTTTGTAGTTGAACCTTGATTGTTGTGGACTTGTCAAAGGAAAGGATTTATTCCCATGCCAATTGGCTTCCAGGAATGGCTGTGATGATTGTGGAGGATCTGTTGTGTAGCAGTTGACCCCATGGAACAGAACTCACTTCAGGGGGCTCTGGCGCCCACTGAGTCTACCCTGTGCATATGTTGCCTGTGGAGGTGGTTGTATTGTGTTTTGGCATGATCTGAAGCTGTCCGGCAGGTGCGCTAACTATGGGTCAACTCAGGAAGTGCAGGTCCAGTTCAGTGGCCTGTGTCCTGAATCCCAGGTCCACTGGATAAGACCTGCAGGACTGTCTGCTACTTGTGCTGGGAGTGGTGGCAGCTGTTAGTGCCAAGCCTGAGGTCACAGCAAGAGGTATGGGTACACGGGCCTGATGCTGCTTGTTTGAGAGATATTAGGAAAGTCTGAAGCATGAGCCAAGATAGGCTGTGTGTATGAAAAAACTACAGGAACTGATTTAGGTGAGCCCACAATTTGAGGGGGAAGGCATCTCTAGGAATCAGCAGGGTGGGGAGAACAGTGTGAGCTATGTTAATGGAGACTCAGATATGGTGCCCGCCTACTGCTTCTATGTGGGGAGGGGTCAGCAAAGGAACAGTGGCCTCTGCCAGCATTTCTGGGGGAAAGCTGCCCCTCTAGCCCTCATACTGAAGCCAGACAATTCAGTCCCTCCCTCTGTGTCCCCATATGAAACTTTTCAAGTGTTGTCTCAGCACTGGAGCTCAGGGCGAGTGAGATCATCAGCAAGTTCATGAACAGATCCTTTAAGAGGAACACCTGGGACACCACGAGTCCTCAGCCTCACTCAGCCACCATCTCTGCTGATTTTTACAGCCAGTAGCTGTCGGGAGTGCTCTTCATGGCACTGGAACCCTATTCTAGGGGGGGCATACTGTGGGATTGGGACCTCTTGCTCCTCAGGGTGTAACAAAGTGAGTAGTCAGGCCAAATCACTGTAGAAGGGAGGGAGAAAAACCCCAAGGTGGAATTGAAGATTAAAAGCAGGTCGCTTTCTGGAGGGAGATTCTCCAAGGCAGATACGTGGCTCATGACTCATCAGAAGGGTGCTTGTACATAGTACGCATGGTTCAAGACTTTGCCCCCTTGCTAAACATTTGGCCAAAAGAGGGGCAAAGGCAAATATGGCTGACACTAGTTCTCATTGGTTAAAAAGCTGGGCACTCCCGCTGGTGTGTGCCTGGGATTTGGGGAGAGGACTTTTAAACAGGAGGCCGGCAGAAGCTCACTCTTGGCTCTGGGCCTCTGGGCCTCTTGGTCTTTTGGCTTCTTGGGCTCTCTTGCTTGCTTCATACTGCTGGTTGGAGAGTGCTCAGGGCTTATGCCTTGCATGTTTGGAAGTCAGCTCCAGGAGGCAGGGTCCCATACTGGGATGAGTCCTTTCCTGGGCTCCAGCCTTAGGACCCTACGACCCATTGTAGCATGGCCCACAGGTCTTGGACTCCTTCTGCTCTCTCTCACCCTGAGATTAGCACATGGACGCATGAGCTAGGAAGTTCCTCATGGGTGGAGCTTCCCCTGAACAATCCTCTGGAGTGTCCTGGCAGCGCACCCCAGACCCTGAGAGAGAGCAAGCTGCTGTGAGTTGATGGCCACTCTGGCTCCAAAGAGAGAGGAAGCCTGGAGCTATAGAGATGTAGACCCATTTGAGTAACAACCTTGGACTACAGATAAGTAATAACGGGAACTTCTGGACAAGGATTTGGACATTAATCTTCCTGAGGGTGGCTGGTTTTCATGCTTTGTGGGAGAGGTTGGCTCAGTCAGCTCAAAGCAGGAAGGCTCCTAGCCCCCTCAAATTGGGAACCCTGTTAATAAAAACCTCTTTCTTTCCCCACAGATCTTTGTGCTATGCTTATATAGAGAGGCAACATCCCATGTTGCCTCTCTATATAAGTGGCCAGATCCCATGCTGCCTGGCTACAGGAGAGACCTCCGCAGACAAGATACGCTTTGTGACTTTTAACTGTCACACATGGGTGTGTGACCAGTCAGTTCTGCGTTTTTACCTTTTTTACCAGCCTTGTAGTGGCTTCTTTCTCATACCTGTAGTTGTAGGACTAAACGTTTAGTTAGGTTTCAGGAGGTTCTGAATGATAGTTCTGTATTTTAGTTGTGATTTTGATGTGTTTGTGGGAGGAGATGAGTACATCGATTACCTGCTTTGCCATCTTGACCAGAAGCCCCCCACACCAGATTTTCTTAAGCTTATGCTGGAGCGCAAGAGAGGAAGTAAGGAGGAAAGGAAAGGTCCTTTAAACTGGGCCCTGCTTGGCTGCTTTTATAAGCTGGGAACAGAATGGGCTTATCTGAAAAGACGTACTTTTTGAAAAAGGTGGGCTTGTGGAATTTTCTATTTCAGTGTCTATCTACTTCTTTCTGTCAGGTTGTTTAACAGCCATGTTTCCCCCAGGACTGAGAGGGCCAAGATGTCGAACTGTTTATTACCGCCATCCCAGGAAGGTGGAATAGCAGTCAAACCTTGATCAGCTGCACATGAGAGTGCTAGTTTATTGATCCGCAGTTAGATGGGAGATAAATATAGGTGCACTTCTGTTTTTCTGAGTGGGGAGAAAAGGGATGGTGATGTTTTTGAAATCTGGATTTCCTTCTGGCCATATGGTGTCCCAAACCTAGGTCCCTCTCTGTCTCAGTCATACCATAAGATCTTTATTCTCTACTTATGACTGTTTCAGAGACATAGACTTTCAGGGAAGAACTTTATGATAAGTTACAATTCCTTTTAAGAGAACAGGCCATCTTGCAAAGTAGGTAAGTATTTCTGTAGTTGAAAAATTCAATAGGGGCTAGATCTTACAAATGGGGTCTGAAGCTTCCTGCTTGTCTGAAATTAAAGTGACCTTAAGTCTCAACTGTAAGATCAGGGGAAACCTCTCTGACTTCTTTCTGTCCTCTTTGTCTGTGTAACTTTTTGTTTTTCATAAGTAATTTGGGATTGCTAGTACCATCAAGATTGGATTGTGGGAGCCAGGACAGGTAATCTCTACAGATTCTTCCACTTTGTACATTGTGGTGTTTTGGTCTGGCTACAGCAATGGTCTATGAAAAGCAAAGGAATTTATTTTACATCAGTAGTACCAGGGGAAACATGCTAGAGAAGAACTCAAAGGACTTGAATTTAATATCAGCTCTGCCAGTAATTGTGCAGTCTCAGACAGTAACCTGAGCCTATTGTGACCAGTTTTCCCAACCACAGCTCTTTCTTATGCCAAGCTAATGCCTTACTTAGAATAGGCTACATTGATAAGCTAATAATGTTATTGATGATGAGGCATCTAGAGTATGGGGAGTTTTAGCCCTGGCCAGTATGGCTCAGTGGGAGCGTCCTGAGAACCAAAAGGTCATGAATTCAATTCCTAGTTGTAGCGCAACCTAGATAGCAGGTTCGATCTCCAGTCAGGACACATACGGAAGGCAACCAATTGATGTTTCTGTCTCACATTGATGTTTCTGGCTCTCTCCCTTCCTTCATCTCTTCCTAAAATCAGTGGGCGTATTCTCAGGTTAGGATCAAAAAAAAAAAAAAAAAATTTAAAGAGTGCGGGGAGTTTTGGTATTTGACCTAACAGGCAGACCAAAATATGTAAATATAAAAAGATAAAATTCCAGTCATGATTCCTTAGGCCTTTTCAAGCAAAACTGTATACATAAATAAAAATTGAGGAACAGTATTGTTAAAATATAAAGCATAATCAAAAGCAAGTCTCAAGCCATTTTTAGTTATAAAAAACTTTTGTGAAAGAAAGACTGATAGAAATAAAGCTCCTGGTTATATGGAATAGAATCATAAAACGGGTCCCTTAAGGTGCTAGGATGACATGAAAAGAACAACTGAAGTCCTTTGTAGGGAAAGTGCTATGTAAGAGATGAACTACAGGCAGGTTATAGCTGGGGAATAAAAACTTAAATGAAAATTAGAAACAACTCCCTAATAGAGTCTCTGCTTGAGAAAAAGATCCTGTGTTTGCCTTGATGTCCTTAACAATTATGGAGACAGTACTTCTATTTGGTTAGCTTTTTAAATGCTAAAACAGAGTAGTAAAAGAATGATGTTGACCTCATTGGGACATTTGGGCAGGAAATAGTGGGACGCCAAGGTTTGTGATTTAGTCTTTTAGCCAAAGCAAGTGAATCTTCAGATATTTTTCCAAAAATTAAAAATCTCTTGACACTAACTTTTAAACACCAAAATTTTAGCTAGTACCTCCTTCATTACCTTTTTGTTGGCGGAATTATCTCTGTAAAAAAACTATGCAAAAATATTTAGTTCATGTTCTTTGTTATCATTAAGTAGACAAATATTTTTTAATGTGTCAAAGGTATAAATTTTATTAAAATGTACTTGATTTATCTTAAAGAAATTTGAAGAAAAGTTTTGCCTTTGTAAAGAAAATTTTGGGTTTTCTGTTCTGGATAAACTTTGTTTTTGTGAGCATGATAATTCATAATTATGGGATTAAAAAGGATTAATAGTTATTTCTGCTTTTATAGTTCTACTTGTCCAACTCTGAAAGAGAACGTTATGAAAAAGAATTCAGCCAAGAACGACAACAAGAAATTTTGAGAAGAACAGCCAGGAACTTACCTATCTACACTACCTCAGGCTCAAGGAGTAAGAAAAACTAATCTTAAGCTTTCCTACTCAGATAATTTTTATAATATGGTCACCCTTGCCAAGATATATTTACATGATTTGACTATTAAATGGATATTGTGATTCTACAAATAACATGGGGCAGGAACAAGATTTCCCTGTTTTTGTATCTTCTGTGGTATTTTAGGTGAGGCATAGATGTGTACAGATATTGAAACAGATTTTTTTAAGAGGCTCTTTTTAATGTGAATCTCTTCTCTTTTCACATTCTTTTTTTTCCAACTTCATCTTTATAACTAAAAGTTTCAGTTATTCTTAGTAAACTATCATTTGGAAATTTGGGTTTGAATTTTAATATTGTGTGTCATCACCAAGCAATTTTTTAAAAATCAAGAATGTGCTCACTTGAAAGGGAGAGAGGTAAGACACGAAGTGGCAAAAAAACTTGTTTAGGGTTATAAAGGTAGTATCAGAGAGCCAGAATTTGAACTTAGGTTTGTATGGTCCTGAAGCTATTGGTAGGTCCACTGTCCCACTGCCTCCCGCTGTCCCACTGAGAGATGTGTGAGTACAGAAGCAGCTTCCTTTCCTCAAGGATAGAGCCTTATGATAGGGGTGAAACTATGAGTCAATAAACTGATCATTTAAAGACAGGAAATTGTTTTAAATTATATTTTATATAACATTAATTTGTGCAACTACTAGCTAATAGTAATAACTAACAACTATTCTGTTCTAAATGCTTTGCACACATGACTCATTTAAACTTTACAACAATCTTGTGAGGGTGATACTGTTGCCTCCACTTTACAGAATAGGAAACGGAGACACCAAAAGGCTTAAGTACTCAATAACTTTTTCAAGGTCAGACAGATATATGTGAAAAAACAGGTTTAAATTGAAGTATTCTGGCTTCAGAGCCCACCGTGCTTGTCAACTTCAAGGGGAAATAAAAGTACTTTATTTTTGTATAGTTACAGACACATTTTGAGTTTAAAAAGTTTAAAGTTTTCACAAGATTTTTGGAGGGTATATTTGACCAAGTTTTTAATTTTTTTATGCATATATTGCTATCCTTTTTGCATAACCTGGTATATTGCTGTATGGAATGAAAACATGGATTTCAGATCAGACCCCAAATTTTCCATTACTAATACAATGAGAGTCACTTAAACTTTCTAAGCCCTAGTTTCCTCATTTTAAAATGAGGATAATAATATCTGCCTCTCTGGGTTAGTGGAAGTACTAAATGAGATTTGTACATGAGATAAGCACTTACTATAGATCTTTGTATGTAATAAATTGTCAGTAAATGATAGCTAATTTAAAATAATCCTTTTTTATATTTAATTATGAAAGGTCTGGTTTACAATAATTGTTAGTAGTTATAGTTCTGCAGATTAGATGTTTTTAACAGGGTCTAAGATTTCAGAGAATTTATGAAGCCCTGAGATTATACACCAAATTTTGAGCAATTTTTCAAATAACCTATTTATAGCAAGAGCGTCTCATTTTCATTGCAGTATATGTGCCCTAAAGAGTTAGGAGGCACAATGTAAAACCTTTACCCTTTAAGCTTTACTACTTTTCATTATTTATAATAGCTATCCTCTAATCTGAACAATACCCTACATATATTGAATACTACACTAGAATCATGCCAAGCACTTTACTGGTGATTGTTTAGCCCTCAGAACAACTCTGAGATGGGTGCTGCACCTGTCCCCATTTTAGAGATGTAAACGTGGGTTGCAGTGACCCGCATTGCAGGTCCCGTGCAGTGGCCACGTCTGGGACTTGTGCCTTACATTCTGACTGCTGGCAGGTCCTGCTCTGGAGAACCTTTTTATACTGAATTTCTACTGCTTAGAATCCCAGATGCTAGGGCTTTTTGTTTCTTTTTTCTTACTATAGAAGCACTACACATTCATCTTTAAAGAATAAAATTACAGAACACATGTTACAGAAAGTCAACATTTTATAGACCAGAGATATTGAAAGTAGTAGAGCTGCCTTCACAGAGAGGAGCTGGGGGCCTGAGTACCAGGGTGGGGCCTTCTCCCTGAATTCCTCTTTGTGCTTTTTCAAGCCACGTGGACATATCATTAATCTATTCAGGAAACAAAATGTGTCTTTATAAACCTTCTCCCCTCCAGCCTTGATTCAGCCAGCAGTTATCTCTAGCTTTGTCCCACACTGTTTCCCTGTGTCAACTCTGCTAACATGTTGTCCTTCTCCACTTTGTTTTTTTGTCTTTCTCTCTGCCTGGAATGATTATTTTCTTCTTTTTAAATCCAGTTTAAAGTTTTAATTCACTGTCCACATCTATTCAGCTTCTATTCATTTTTAATGAGCAGTGATTTAGAGAGTCTTCTCGAAACATCTCAGATTTCTACCTCGTAGACTTCAAGTCATTACCTTTTAGTTATCAATGTCCATCTCACCTCATTAACTTTATCTAAGCCTCTGGTAGCCAGGAGTTCTCCCATGGTCTCTAAGTCAGTGTTTCTCTAAGCAGGTATTGGGAGATATCTGTGGAGTAAATCTATTCCTGGGTGTTCTCCATTATAGCTGTTTGTACACTTTTTAATATCCCTGGTTTTCTCTCTCTCACTGTCTTTTCCCATCATAGAATCTGACTTTATATTTTATTAGAAATAATAATTTTATTATGATTACTGCTTATTGAGAATCTGATTATGTTCTAGAAGGTTTCATTTTAATCTGAAAAATAGTTCATTATACTTGGTATAATTTGCATTTACAGAAAAAGAAACTGAGGCATTTAGAAAGTAAGTTACTAATCCAGTGTCACCCAGCCAGTCAGTGGGAGAATTAGTATCAAACAATGACTGGTTGTTAATTTCGCCAGAGTTGTTTCTACAAGAAATGAAAGCAAATTTTATAGTCAAATTCACTGAACTTGTACATCCTTCAACAACTTCCTTTTAATTCTTAAATATAGCCATCAGGTATTGTGAAAGATGTCAGTTGATTAAACCTGACCGTGCGCATCATTGCTCAGCATGTGACATGTAAGTGTTCCCTTCATTTGCTTCCCTTTAACCCCAGCATTGGAAATTGGTGACAGGAGAAAAAAAGGGGAAGAAACATTTTATATGCTTTATACTTAGCAAAAAACACTTCATCTTCTCCCATTATTTGCTACACATGTGGGCTAACATAAATATTTCCACAAGCTAGAATATATTTGGAGTACTCTTTGTAACAGTTCCTATACTGGTTGATGGAATTTTCTTTAAATATATTTTCTATGTTTATGCTTAATATAACATTGATGAGCAACTAATAACCCCCTTAAGGATAACTTTATTTTCTGGATTAAAAAGACCAAAATGACTATTTTCTTGTTTTTTATTATTAATGTTAATATTAAAACCTAACAAACCACACGCAAAAACATTTTTTCAATTTCCATCTATAACATTGTTCCCAGAAAAACTTGAAAGGTTTTATTCCTTGAGTTCTTGCAAGAAGGTAGTGTGTGGAAGGAAAGGTCCCTAGTTTGGGTATCCCAGTTAATCCTTGAACTTGAGTTATATAAGCTTTTTAACCTTCTAGGTATTAGTTTACTCATTTATTATGTTATTTGAGGTGATCTGTGGTCCGACGTCATAAATACATAGGTTGCATATACTAGTGGGGAGGCAAATTTCGAGTTTTTTTTCTGATTATAAAAGTACAGTAGTATTTATCCATGGGGTAGAATTTTATAAAATATGTAGAAAAAATAACCATCTATAAACCCATCAGTGTTGATATTTTAACGTAGTTGCTTCTAAAATTTTATTTTTAGGACTTGTACATGTTTAAAATAGAGATCGTCTGTATTTCACTTTATTTCCTTTAGCTGATTTGTGAGTTGGACTAGCTAATGCACCAAGTGCTCTTATGTGCCATATCCATATATTAAAATGTCATTTGATGTGGTCCAAGGCAACTGGCTATGCTCAGCTGAATTCCTGATGTAAAAAAATGGTTACCTCTTACCTATGAAAATGTTGGTGGAAATAATCAGAAATTTTCTCTAATTTAGTGTTTATTGGGTTGGTTTTTCCAAGATGTATTTGTAAAAAGAAAAATTTAAGGAAAATTACAGCAATTAGAATTAGGATAATAGTCTACATGGATTTTCTTATGCTTATTTGTTTTTTAGATGTATTCTTAAGATGGATCATCACTGTCCTTGGTATGTATAAAAATAGAGGAAGGTGCATATTGGGGTGGGGAGAGGGGAAGGAGAGAATTTGTAGTGATTTATACACCTCAGCATCCTAAATTTTCAAGTGCAATTTAATTATTCATATACAACAAAGATTGATCTATTTATATATGTATATGTACAAGTACATAATATGTATGTACATTGTTTATATTAAATGTTAACCTCTAAAAGTATTATCTGATGTTATTTACCCAAATAATTATATATTAAGAATTAACATTAAAATTCCAAATTCCTTAAAGAATTTATTAAAAACACATAGCCACAATTAAGACATGCTCCATACTTCCCAAATGACCCATTTCTAAATAATAATTAAGGCTTTTGAAATGTCTTATTTATTACTATTGATGTGGTAAAAAAGAAAACCATGCAGTTTGCCACCTTAACCGTTTCTAGTGTCCAGTAGTGTTAAGTATGTTCACATTGTGCAAATAGTCTTCAGAGTTTTTTCATCATGCAAAACTCTGTCCGTATTAAACAACCTCTACCCACCTCCCCCTGCAATCCCTGGCAAACGTGCTAGTTTTTGTTTCTGTGAGTTGATGGATTTATCTTTATTTTTACAATGTGACCTTCTGTATTTTTCTAGGGTGAATAACTGTGTGGGATTTTCTAATTACAAATTCTTCCTGCTGTTTTTATTGTATTCCCTATTATATTGCCTTTTTGTGGCTACAACAGTTTTACAGTACTTCATAAAATTTTGGATGGTAAGTCTTTTTCTACCTTAAAACATGTATTTAAGATTTTTTCATGGGGTGGGATGGGTGGAGGAAGGCAAAGGGGGAAAAATTGAGACAACTGTAATAGAATAAACATGATTTAAAAAATTTTAAAAAAGATTTTTTAAGATGCTCTATTCATAAAGAATTTACTCTCTTTACAAATAGATATACTTTATTTTAATCTTATGGGTTAGAATTTATAATGAATCAGAGGGTAGAGTTAATATTTGCATTCATATATACTTGTTTATTTGCAAATAAATAAATATTCAACAGGGTATGATTTTAATGATCCAAACTCTTTTCAGCCTCACTCTAATAATAGACATACCACTTTTAGGGAAGTAATTGCATTTATTTGAATTGGTGAGACTTACTGTAGTTTTATAGTAATCAAAATGATATTCCCAGGCCTAATCACTGATCTTTTTCCTGTCTGTATAGACATTAATCCTTTTCCTGTCATGAGTTGGAAATGTGTTTCCCATATTTTCAGTTTTTATCTTACAACCCTTTTACTTTTATCAAATCAAAATTTTATATTTTAAAGCAGTACTTTTATGATTCTTTTTTTAATTTAAAAACTATACTTTTAAATTATGATTTCTGGCTTTAGTCTATTTGCTATAAATTCGTACAAATATTTACCTGTGTTTTCTTCTGGAATTTTTATTTTTGTTTCACATTTAAACCTTTGATTTTTTTTTTTAAGAGTTTATTTATTTATTTTTAGAGAGGAGGGAGGGAGAGAGGGAGAAAAAGAGGAAGAGAAACATCTACATGTGAGAGATACATTGATCACTTGCCTTCTGCACACCCCCAACGGGATCTGGCCTTCAACCTAGGCATGTACCCTGACTGGGAATTGAACCAGCAACCTTCCGGTTCGCAGGCTGGCACACAATCCACTGAGCCATACCAATCAGGGATGATTTTTTTTTTTAATTGTGAGAGAAAGAAGCATCGATGTGAGAGAGAAACATTGATCGATCACCTTTTTGTATGCATCCCAACTGGGGACTGATCCAACAATGTGGGTATGTGCTCCAACCAGGAATAGAACCATCATGTCTACCAAATGTCACTCCAACCAACTGGGCCACACTGGCCAGCGCAAAGCACAATTATTTTTTCAGGAAATATCTAATATGTTTTGGAAGGATTTTATTTAAAACATTATTAATATTTTACAGTTTGGGTGTTTAAAAACAGGGGATGCTGGCATTGCCTTTGTGCATGTTAGAAAGGACTACCCCATTTCTGTGTGGTCTTAGCCAAATGAATTTTGGCCTCTATTGTTTCCCTACCTGATATTTTTATTTATTTTACAACCTACTTAACCATACTTAGTGGCCCTGTTTAAAGGAAGAGGATTCAGTGCCAGATCAATGAAGTCTAAATTATAGAATTTCACACTTCTTTATCAGAAACTTCAGCACTGTTTGCATGTAATGATTTATTAATTACAGAATAGTTGTTTATTAACTTTTAGATTAATTGTGTTAAGAAAATACTAGTAAACTTAAATTTTCTTTATTAATTCAACAGATATTTACTTAGCACCTATAATGTGCCAGGCAGTATTCTAGGCACTTGGGCTATATCAGTGAACAAAACAGTCATGTCTTTGGAAGTTACTTTTGAGAAGAGAAAGTCAATAAACATAATGAATAAGTAAATTCTATATTAGGAAGTAAATGCTATGAAAAAAAATAAACTAGGGTAAGGGAATTTGGCAAGTGTGTGGGAGTGGGTCAGATAGGAGTAGGTTACAGCATTTGAAGAGAGGTTTTGAGGGAAGACTTGAGGGAAGTTAGTGGATATCTGAAAGAAGAACATTTATGCACCCAATGCAAGAGCACCTAAATATATAAAGGAAATATTAACATATGTAAAGGGAGATATAGACAACAATACAGTAATAGTTGGGGACTTTAATACCCCACTTTCATCAGTGGATAGATCCTACAAACAAAAAAAAAGGTCAGTAAACATCTGCCTCAAATGACACGTTAGTCCATATGTACTTAACAGACATGTACAGAACACTTCATCAAAAAGCTACGGAATACAGCCCTAGCTGGTGTGGTTTAGTGGATTGAGCACCGGCCTGCAAACCAAAGGGTCACCCGTTCCACTTCCAGTGTAGGGCACATGGCCTGGATTGCAGGCCAGGTCCCCAGCAGGGAGCAAGCGAAATGCAACCACACATTGATGATGTTCCTCTCATCTCTCTCCCTCCCTTCCCAACTCTCTAAAAATAAATAAATAATTTTTTTTTTAAAGCTACAGAATACATATTCTTTTTAAGCACACATAGAACATTCTCATCTCAGAATAGATCTTTTATTCACAGAACAAGTCTTAATAAATTTAAGAAGATTGACATTTCAAAGCTTTGCTTGAAACTAGAAGTCAATTATAAGAAGAAAACTGGAATATTCACAAATATGTGGACATAACATGGTCCTGAACAAACCAGTGGATAAAAGAAGACACAAAAAAATATCTTGAGACATGAAAATATAAGTACAACACAAGCAAAACTCATGGAATGCAACAAAAACAGTTCATAGAGAGAAATTCATAGCAATACATGCCTATCAAGAAGTAAGAAAGAGCCTTGGCCAGGTACCTCCGTTGGTTAAAGCATTGTCCTGACACTGAGGTTGAGGTTTCGAGCCCCACTCAGGCATATAAAAGAGTTAACCAGTGAATGCATAAATAAATGGAGCAACAAATCGATGTTTATCCCTCTCCCCCCCCCCTTTATATCTATCCCTGTCCCTTCTTCCTTCCTTTTGCTCTCTCTCAAATCAATACATAAAAGTAAAATCTCAACCCAAGTTTACACCTCAAAAAACTAGAAAAAGAAGGAAAAATTGAAGCCCAAGTCAGCAGAAGGAAGGAATAATGAAGAGCAGAGCAGAGATAAATGAAATAAAATTTAAAAACACAACAGAAAGATTAGTGAAAGTAAGAGCTGGATTTTTATAAAGAAAAACAAAATAGACAAACCTTTACCTAGATTCACCAAGGAAAAAAAAAGGACTAAAATACAATCAAAAAATTAAAGGAGACATTACAGCTGATGTCACAGAAATACAGAGGGTTATAAGAAACTACTATGAACAATTGTATGCCAAAAATTAGACATCCTAGAAGAAAGGGATACATTCCTAAAAACATACAACCAAGACTGAATCATGATGAAAGAGAAAATCTCAACAGACTAATCACTAATAAGGAGATTGAATCAGTCCTCAAAAGCCTCCCTACAGAAGTCCAGGACTAGATGACTTCACTGATGAATTTTACCAAACATTTAAAGGAGAACTAACGCCAGGCCTTCTCAAACTTCTCATATGAATAGAAGAGGAGGGAACGGTTCCAAACTCACTTTATGAGGCCAGCATTACCCTGACACAGAAAGCAGACAAGGTCACAACAAGAAGAGAAAATTACATACTAAAATCCCTGGGGATACAAAAGTCTTCAAAAGAATATAGGCAAACTGATTTCAGCAATACGTTAACAAGAATCATATGCCACGATCAAGTGGATTTATTCCAACTATGCAGGAATGCTTCACTGTCTGCAAATTGACCGATGTGATACACCACAGTAACAAAATGAAGGATAAAAATCATGTTTATCTCAATAGATGCATAAAAAGCATTTGACGAAGTTCAGTATCTGTATATGCTTAAACTCTCAACAAAGTGGGTGTAGAGGGAACATACTGCATCATAACAAAGGCCATATATCCCAATATGTTAGGTGTCTAGCTAACATCATACTCAACTCTGAAAAGCTGAGAGCTTGTCCGCTAAAATTAGGAACAAGACAAGGATGCCCACTTTTTTACTCAACATAATATTGGAAGTCCTAGCCAAAGGTATTTGGCAAGGTAAAGAAATAAAGACATGATACGGGGAAGAAAGAAGTAAAACTGTCTTCGCAAATGACATGATAGTATATATAGAAAACCCTAAAGACTCCGTCAAAACTTAGAACTCAGAAATTCAGTAAAGTTGCAGGATACAAAATTCAGTAGCATTTCTATACACTAATAAATTATCAGAAAGAGTACTTAAGAAAACAATCCCATTTATAATTGCATCACAAAGAATAAAATACCTAGGCATAAATTTAACCAAGGAGGTGAAAGACCTGTTATACTGAAAATTGTAAGATTGAGCCTGACCAGTGTGGCTTAGTTGGTTAGACATCTGTCACAAAGTGAAAGTTGCTGGTCTGATTCACAGTCGAGGCACATGCCTGTGTTGTGGACCTGGTCTCCAGTTGAGGTGCATGCAACAAGCAACCAATTAATGTTCTCTCTAACATCACTGTTTATCTCCCTCTCCTCCACCCTCTCTTAAAATAAATAAAATCTTAAAACTATACGACATTGATGGCAGTATCTGAAGAGGACATGAATAGAAAGATAGTTTGTGCTTATAGACAGGAAGAATTAATATTGTTAAAATAGTCATACTACCAAAAGCAATCTACAGATTGAGTTCAATCCCTATTAAAATTCCAATGGCATTTTCCACAGAAATAAACAATCCTAAAATTTGTATGGAACCAGAAAAGAGACCAAATAGCCAAAGGAATCTTGAGGAAAAAAGAATAAAGCTGGAGACATTATGATTTCTGATTTCAGACTATATTACAAAGCTGTAGCAATCACCCTGACTGGTGTGGCTCAGTGGGTTGGACATTGTCCTGCAAACCAGAAGGTCACAGGTGCAATTCCCAGTGAGGGCACATGTGGGTCAGGTCCTAGGTTGGGGGCGTGCAAGAGGCAGCCTATTGATGTTCTCCCTCTCAAGCCTTCTCTCTAAAAATAAATTAAAAATCTTTAAAAAAAAAAATAAAGGTAGCAATCAAAACAGCATACTAGCATAAAAACAGACACATAGATCAATGGAACAGAGTAGAGAGCCAAGAAATAACTCACCTCTACATGGTCAATTAATCTGTGACAGAGGAGGCAGTAATATATGATGGAGTAAAAACAGTAACTTCAGTAAATAGTGCTGGGAAAACTGGACAGCCACATCCAAAAGGATGAAACCAAACCCCTACACTATACAGACACACACAAAACAAAAACCACAGCTCCAAATGGATTAAAAATTTGAGCATAAACCTGAAACCATAAATCTTGCAGAAGAAAACAAGTGTTAATGTCTTTGATAGTTCTTAGTAGTGATTTTTTGGATTTGACAGCAAAAGCAAAAATTAACACGTTTGAATATATCAAAATAAGGAATGTTTACACATTACAGGAAACCATCAACATGAAAAGACAGCTTACTGAATGGAAGAAAATATTTGCAAACCATATATTTGATAAGGAGTTAATACCCAAAATACATAAAGAACTCATATAACTCAATGGCAAAAAAACCAATTAGATTTTACAAACAGGCAGCAGCAGCCCTGAATAGACATTTTTTAATATAAGACATGCAGGTGGCCAACAGATACATGAAAAAATGCTCACCATCACTAATCACTAGGGAAATACAAATCAAAACCACAAGGAGTTATTACCTCACACCTGTTAGAATGGCTGTTATCTAAAAGACAAGAGATAACAAGTGTTGGTGAGGATGTGGAAAAAAGGAATGCTTGAGCACTGTTGGTGGAAATGTAAATTGGTGCATTCACTCCGGGGGAAAGTATGGAGTTTCCTCAATAAGTTAAAATTGAACTACCATATGACCTGTCAATTCCACTTCTGGAAAAATAGTGAAAGGAAATAAAAATATTATCTCAGAGAGAGATCTGTGCCTTCATGTTCACAGTAGCATTATTTACAATAGGCAAGACATGGAAACAACCTAAGTGTCCATCAACAGATGAATGGATAAAGAAGGTGTATCTATACACAGTGGAATATTATTCAGCCATAAAAAAGGAAATCCTGCTATTTGGAACAACACGTATGGACCTTGAAGGCATTTTTATAAGTGAAATAAGTCAAAAACAAATATGGAATGACCTCATTTATATATGAACATAAAACAGTTCATAGATACAGAGATTGGTGGTTGTCAGAAGTAGGGGGTCGGGAATGGGTGAAGTGGGTGAAGTGGGTGAAGGTAGCCAAACCATATACCATGGTGACTATAGTTAATAAGGAAGGATATTTGAAAGTAGCTAAGAGTAGATCTTAACAAGTTCTGATTACAAGAAAAAAAATTGTAACTGTGAAGTGACGTATGTTAACTAGACTTACTGTGGTGATCATTCACATTTGACATACAAATATCAAATCATGTTGCACACCTGACATTAATACAATGTTACATATCAGTTATATCTCAACTAAGGAAAAGAATGATCAGGGTAGACTAGTAAGAAGGTAATATTTAAGCAAGAACTTGATGGGAGTTAGGTGATATCTGAGAGAATAATGTTTCAGACAGAGGAAGCAGAGGAAAAGACTCAAAATTACGAGCTTCCCTGCCATGTTTGAGAAGCAGGAAGGAGGCTAGTGTGGCTGGAGGGGATAAGCAAGGGTGAGACTAATGGGAAGGCCTGGAGATGGGCCCCAAAAATACCCTTGGAGAGTGTTGTAAAGACCATGATTTCTACTCAGTGAAGTGGGAACAGAGCAGTGACGTGTTCCGACTTGTAAAGGATCACTCTGATTGCTGTGTTGACGACACTAGACCAGAGACAGGCAAGTGACAACCACTTAGAAGGCTATTGCAATAGCAATTAAGGCAATAAGAAATTGTCATACCTGCTTCTTAAAAATGGCTAATCAGAAGTTTTTTTCAAAGCTATTTGCCAAAAAATATAATTCTATCCTAACTACAAATCTCGATTTTAAAAACTGAGTGGAAAAGTGTGTTAAGTGTACCTGAAATGTGCTTGAAGAGCTAAGTGTTCTCGTCTGTTTTCTGTTTGTTTTTTTAAGATTTTATTTATTTATTTTTAGACAGAGAGGAAGGGAGGGAGAGAAACATCAATGTGTGGTTGCCTCTCACACACTCCTGCTGGGGGCCTGACCTGAAAGCCAGGCATGTGCCCCAACTGGGAATTGAACCAGCAACCCTATGGTTCGCAGGCTGGCACTCAATCCACTGAGCCACACCAGCCAGGGCTGTTTTCTGTTTTTTGAGAAAATATTATCGATGACCCTTAGAGAACAACATCTTAGTGTTCCTTCTAAGCAAAAGATTTCCAAGACTGCTGTTCAGGAAAATTTTGTGTAAAAATTGGTTTTTTAATACATTGTCTCTATTTGTACAAGCTTTGCCACAGGATATCTACAGAGAGTTGTCCAGAGGTAAAATACATTACTGCCATGACATTCTTGTTATCTCTTTTATGACATTTATGATAAATATGTGTGTGTATATGTATACTCATTTGCTTCACAAGATGGATAGAATCACTTGATGTATTTAAAAGGTATTGTGGTTACACTGAGGGAAAAGAGAATAAGATGAATATCAGAATTATGTAATGCTAAAAACCTTCCTTTTAGCCTATAAACAGTGTTTAAACCAAGAAGGACCATTTTGCGTTCTAATAGCTTCTGTGATTTCATTTTAAGAGACCATACTTTAAAAAGTTTCCTCTTCTTATCAATAGATGCTACGTATTCTAGGTTAATTATGACTTTGCTTCTGTTAAAGTGAACATAGCCATGAGAATGGGTAACTGAGAAACTGTTTTCATTCACTCATACCTTATGTTAAATTCATTTACCAAAATTGCTAATTACCATAAAGGGCTCTGTAGGAAAGGAGCAAGGATTAAAAAGGCAGGAATTGAAAAAGCTGTGGAGATAGGCATATTTGCAGTGATGTCAGTGGTGTTCCAAGAACAGAGATTAGAAAAGTACAAAAATAAAATTATCACAATTCATTTCTGATTAGCAGCATATATAATTAAACTAAGCATATACTTTAGCATTGATGGGGAAACCCTACTATACCCTGGATGTTGGGGGGAAGACTTGCATATACAGAAAGTAGAAAAGAAAAACGTTGGATAGAGTCCATCTTTTTATGTTATTAATGAAAGTATTGCTAAATTTATTAATGTTTCAGAGCAATTTTTTTAAATGGCTCTGATTTTATGTAAGCAAGCTCCTTTGATGATACCAGTTTTCTGCTTTCAAAATGTTGTTTTTGGATATACTATTTAATTTATTTTATTATTCATATCTGGCAAGTTTTTGGTGGACTCAATAATTTTTAGGAAAACCAAATAATAAGAGTACATTTTAGAGGCTGACTATCTCCAAAAGTAACACTTCTTTTTTTTTTCCTCAGAATGAACTCACAGATACACGTGCCAAATTCCATGTACTGTTTCTTTTCTTTGTGTCAACGATGTTCTTCATTAGCGTTCTGTCGCTTTTCAGCTACCACTGCTGGCTGGTTGGGAGAAACAGAACAACAATAGGTGAGAAGATCAAAATATCATAATTTTTTATTAAAATGACCACTCATGAATATGAAATCTAGAGAAAGTCAGTAGATAATAAAGAAGTGTAAAATAATTGTGTGTAAGAATTCACTGTGACTGGACAGGAACAATGAGTATATGTAAATATAAAGGTTCATTATTTTAAAGACAATTGAGTAAGTAAGGTTGGCTTTTAGGTATTTTTTCAGAAGTGCATTGTATATAAAAGTAGAGAACAAATTATATTTTATAAAAGTTAAAAGAAGTTGTTTCCTGCATTTATACATTGTGTTCAAAAATTAATCTATGAAAGATTAATAGATTTACATGTTAATAAGGTAGTTAATTCTCAGATTGCTAAAAAAAATTTTTTTAAATCCTTAATTACAGCTCATTATTTAGTTCTTTACTTTTTTCTCCAAATGTTTCATAATTGAGGCTAAGGAATAATGTTTTGACATGGTGAATCATTTCTGTCTTTGTGTCAGTTGACAGTGAAACTTATGAATTGTATCACTAATATCAGCATTTATGTCTTATATTGCTTTTTTTTTAGAAACTAATGTTATAATTTATTCCATCTTCATAATTACAGATGTTACAGGGGCAGGTTGGATAAACAAGACAAATAAAGCAAACTCCTTTCTCCCCCTATGTAACCAGATATAGAATTTTTGCATTTTCATGATATATAGGTTGACTCAATTAATTCACTGACTTTAAGGTTGAAAGCTGGCAACAGCAAATCTTTGCAATTTAGGATCTTCCTCCATAGCGTACTCCAAGGATCTTAATGATTGAACTACACTACAACATGTGAAATGGTGTTTACTCTAACATTCTTGAAGCTTTCATGTCTTAACCTGAAAGGCAGGGAACTGTTAAAAGCTTCTTCTTGGCTAACCCAGTCCACCAGCAATCTTAACAGAAAAGTTACTATAGAAAAATAAAACTGATCCCACGCATTGATTGAAAAATCTGTTGTGCTAGGATATCTGGGAGAAAAGAGATCCTAACCAGTTGCTTCCATGAACAATAATTCCAGCATGGTATGCCCAATGTCCTTTGAAGCATAACTCAAGAGGTCAGGCAGCCAAGATCATCCTGACAAGTTTATCAGTGTTTATTGCACATACAAGGTCTATTTAAAGCTGATCCCAGATGGAATAAGGCAACCATAATCCCAAGAAATCATTCAGATTTAGCACAGTGAGTTTCTGCATGATGCCAGCACAAGTGAAAAGTCATCCCAAAGTAAAAACTGGTGGTTCATCATCTTTTACAAGTGAGATAAAAACATCTAGAAGGAGGCCCTGGCTGGTGTAGCTCAGTGGACAGAGCGTCAGCCTGCGAACCGAAGGGTTGCCGGTTTGACTCCCAGTCAGGGCACATGCCTGGGTTGCAGGCCAGGTCCCCAGGGACAGGCACACAAGAGGCAACCACACATTGTTGTTTCTCTCCCTCGTTTTCCTCCTCCCCTCCCCTCTGTCTAAAAATAAATAAATAAAACATTAAAAAAAAAAAACATCTAGAAGGAAGAAAAAACTCTCCCCCAAAAATACTCATTAAATTGATGGCTATCTTCACAGCTTAGTTGACAAAATCTAGTGCCCAATTTCCTGATTTCAGTAGTCCATTTTTTAAGGTGACCGTCAAGGTCAAGAGCTTTCAGGCTTTTCTCTACCATTGTCCTTCAATGGGAATTTCCTTCCCCTTTATTGCTTTCTGAACACACTGCTGGTCGTGCTTGAAGAGGTCAGTGTACAGGTCCCTAGATGTGTGTCCCCCTTGAGGAACTTCTTAGCAAATTAGCAATTAAAACACTGACTTTTCTCATGCTTTTCGTCAGTGCATCCCGCTCCTGTACTGTTCATGGCAGCTGTAGTGGTGATGCACTTTGTTGTCTTATTTAGCTCATTTTTAAAAGTGAAAATATAGGAGAAGAATTCAATAAAGTATTAATTGGACAAACGTTTCGAAAACAAGGTGATGTGGCATTGCTCGAACTGAGTTGCTGGCAAGTAAGCAGCATCATTGTGCTATCATTGAAATATTTAGGTATTGGCTAAGGTACCATGTTTTATAAGAAAGTTAAAGCCTGCTTTGCCATCTAAAGCTATGTGTCTGCCAGGTGAATTAGAAAAGGACAGATTTTAATATAGAAAGATGAAGATATTTTATGGAGACTTTTAGATGTTTTCATTGTTGGATCATTTTAAACTTGTCCAGCTGAGTCACATGAGGGAAGATGGGTCTCCAGAGTAAAGGATTTCTATGCTATTCCTACCTCAGCTCACTCTTCACTATTGAGTTCTCCACTTCCATCATGCCTTCATTCCCTTTCCATGTAAATAAATTCTATTATATCCATTAATTAATTAGTTTTCATCTTGATAGAATCTCCTCCCATTGTCTTATCTTTAATCAGAGATGAAAAAGTGCAGCCTACATGCAAAGTTTAGCCCTTAAGATCTTCCACAACAGCTAAAAACTTGGAGATGTTGCATAGAAAAGTAGATTTCTTGTTTCAAAACTGATTAATCTGGTATTGTGTGTCCTTTTCTCTACCCAGCATCATTCAGTTAGAACTAAGTAGCAGCTGGCTCCTTTAAATGAGGCATGAACACTAATTTGCCATAGTTTCCACCCAAACCATGTGGGGTTTTGAGAGGCCAGTGCTTTTTAGGAAATTTATTGTTCCTTTTAGACAGTGTTTTCCAAACTTTTTTTTTGCCAGTGACTACAGTAAGAAATTCATCATCTTTTTTTATAACCTAATGCATACAAATATTTATAAGCAAATATTTATATTTATGTAAATAAGCAAAAATTTCACACAATATTATTCAGCTCTACTATGTGCAGTGTAGGTTAATATTTTCTGTTCTAGTTCCTTAAATAGTTCCATGGTTATAAACCACTGAATTATTTTGCAGCCTGTTAAGGTATTTTAACCCATACTTTGAAAATACATGCCCTGGCCAGTGTAACTTAGTTGGTTGGGCATCATCCCTCAAACTGAAAGGTTGCCAGTTTGATTCCTGGTTAGGGCAACATGGCTGGGTGGCAGGTTTGATCCTCTGGGGAGCGTACAGAAGGGGGCCAACCGATGTTACCCTCTCACGTCAATGTTTCTCACCCATTCTTTCTCCCTCCCTTCTCGTCTCTATAAAAAAAAAAAAGTATTTAAAAGACAAAATGTTACCCTAGCACAGCACTTTCCCTTACAGCCTCCTCCTCCACACCCCTGGCTTTAGCTGGTATTCCACTGCTACTCCCAAATTGTGTCTTTCTGTTCTTTGAAGTTATCTTATTCTGTCCTTTGGAGTATCACCTCTACCCTTCTTCATAACTGTCATCTACATACCTTAAGATAATTTCCCCATGTTAATAGTTTCTGTCATCAGCCCTGGCTGGCGCGGCTCAGTGGATTGAGTGCCAGCCTGCGAACCAAAGGATCGCTAGCTTGATTCCCAGTCAGGGCACATGCCTGGGTTGTGGACCAAGTCCCCAGTTGGGGGTGTTTAAGAAGCAACCACACATTGATGTTTCTCTCCCTCCCTTCCTCTCTCTCTAAAAATAGATGAATAAAATCTTTTTTTAAAAAAGAGTTTCTGTTGTTAAACTATTAGTATCCCAAATAGGCAATCTGGTCCCTTTGATTCTATAACTAAATACTGAATCTTGTCATTGCTTGAAATTGAAGAGTCCCTGAATTTTCAACTTCAATTTCTATTCTCTGAGCCTAGTCTTTGTCCTTTCAGCTCTCTTTTCTGTACTCTAATTCCTTTTTTTAGATTACTGAGTTATCTTTTTTCCAACACCTTTCTTCCAAGTGTTTCTTTCCCTTCTGATTTCATTTCCCACCCTTTTCCATTCTAGATCCTATAATATTGAATAAATGCCTTTAATAATTCTTGAGAACACCCTCATGTTACACTTGGCCCCTAAGCTTTCTCCTGTAATGTATTTGCTGATCCATGACCTGGGTTACTGTAGCTGTCAATTTTATCTACATGTGCATCTGAGCTATAGAAAGCTGGTAAAGGCAACCTCACTCCCATAGAGATTGTTACAACTAAAGATGAAAAGTCCAACCTTCACTTGGGCCCTCACCTCTATGTGGCAGTAATGTCATGTTTCTGATCAGGTTGGTCTCCCATTACCTACTACAGTTATTCCAGACTTTCACCATTCTAATTTTCTTACCCATTTTGTGAGTCCTACAAAGAATTAGAAGTTGTCACAAGCAAATTCTTATCTTCTTAACTTTATAACCTCACACAAACATTTCTACTTTCAAACCCATCACTGTTACCCTTCTCTGACTTCTGAAGATATCTTTTCTAGAATCTAAGGGTAATCTTTAGTACTCTTCTAGAGCTCATCCCATTTCTTTTAGAATTTTCTTCCATCAATTTTTGCATTACTTTTCTGTATTATTATCTTTCCCAAACAGTCTCTCCATGGCTTTTTAGCCTTACCTTATAAAACATGCTGAAGTGTAGTCTATTTATAAAGTTAAAACAAAACAAAACAAAAACAACTCTTCTTTCGGGAGGGGTGTGAAACTTAAGTCTTTCTCTAACCCTCACCCTGCATCACTTTACAATCAAGCTTAAAAGGAGAGTCTTTAGCCCTGGCTGGTATGGCTTAGTGGATTGAGTGCAGACGTGCAAACCAAAGGGTTGCTGGTTTGATTCCTAGTCAGGGCACATGCCTGGGTTGCCAGCCAAGTACCCAGTAGGGGGTATGCAAAAGGGAACCACCTATTGATGTTTTCTTTCCCCCTCCCTTCCCCTCTCTCTAAAAATAAATAAATAAAATCTTTTAAAAAAAAGAACGCTCTTTAATTACCGTCCGCTTTCTTACCTGTTATTCCTTGCCCAAAATCATTCTCAAGTATTACTTCTTCATGTTTCACCTTACCCTACCATTCCCCCCGCCCCCAAAAAACACACATATCTCTATCACATTTTAATTTTGTTAGACTTTGGTTCTTTGGTAAGAATTTCATCTAATTTATCTTTGGATCTCAAACACTTGGTAATGTGCCATCAGGCACAGAGTAGGAAGTGTATAAATAATTAATGGAGTTGAAGAGTATGAGAATATTAACAAAGAAAAGAAAAATAAGATATATTAGATACACTTTAGAAGATTTTCAGTAATATTAGATAATTATTTTGACATTTTCATTTTATAAGGGTAATGAAATATTCAGAGGTGATGTTTTTCTGTAGTGTTTCAGAAATTTATCTTTTGATACATATATATTGTTTATTTTTAAGTTATATTTACAGCTTCTGATATTAAAGATATAAAACAAGAAAATTGGTACTTCATTCCTCATGTGATTGTAAATAGAATAACTTTTTTTTTTTTTTTAATGTACACACATAACAGAATCATTCCGTGCACCTACATTTTCATATGGACCTGATGGAAATGGTTTCTCACTTGGATGCAGTAAAAATTGGAGACAAGTCTTTGGCGATGAAAAGAAATACTGGCTACTTCCAATATTTTCAAGGTAATTTATAAATTGCAGGTGTCAGAAATTATGGGTATTATAGTTAAATGTCTTCAGATTCAGAGGATAAAATATATAATGACATTCTTAGCTTTAAGAATGAAAACCAAGAAAAAACCTGATTATATAAAATATTGTTTTGGTTTTTTAATTAAAGAAGGTAAAAGAGAGTTTGGGCATGTATTTGAATGCAAAGTTGAAAAAAGATGATTCATAAAAAATAAGAATCACCTTAAGGATCCCAAAACACCAATTCAAAAGATCCTATGCACCCCAGTGTTCATAGAAGCACAATTTACAATAGCCAAGTGCTGGAAGCAACCTAAGTGCCCATCAATAAATGAGTGGATCAAAAAACTGTGGTACATTTACACAATGGAATACTATGTAGCAGAAAGACAGAAGGAGTTACTACCTTTCACGACAGCATGGATGGAACTGGAGAGCATTATGGTAAGTGAAATAAGCCAGGGGATGAAAGGCAAATACCATATGATCTCACCTATAAGTGGAATCTAATCAACAAAACAGACAAGCAAAAAGCTCTTAACCAGCAACATTGAAAGAAAAAACAAACCAACAGTACTGAGAGGGAAGGAGAGAGGGGGGTAAAGGGGAAAAGAAGGGGAAGGGTCAAAACACGGATTATGTATAAAGGACCCATGGACAAAGCCAAAGTCGGGGAGTATTGAGGGTGGGATGTAGGGGTGGGTGGGGTAGGGGAAAGTGGTGGGAAAATGGAGACAAATGTATTTGAAAACTAAGAAAAAAACAGAGTCACTCTTTTTCCTTCAAAATGAAAGTAAGTTGTTTGAAGTAGAGAAACATAAGGACTTAATGAGCTTCTGGCCAAAATGGAGGCATAGGTTGATACACATCACTTCCTCACACAACCAAAAGAAGGATAACAACCAATTTAAAAACAAAAAAGAACCAGAACTGCCAGAAATTCGAAATGTATGGAAGTCCAACAACCAAGGTGTTAAAGAAGAAAAGTTCATCCAGACCAGTAGGCGGGGCAGAGACCAGCAGCTCGGGAGGAGAGGACCTAGTAAGGTGGTGGCTGGTGGATGGGGCAGTCCCACATTTGCATGCAGAGAAACCAGGAGGAACAACTGGGGAGCGAGATAGACCACACAATCCAGGGTTCCAGCACAGGAAAAAAAAAGCCTCAAAACCTCTGGCTGTAAAAACCTGTGGGGATTACAGCAGTCGGAGAAACTGTTGGTCTCACAGGAGAATCCGTTGGACAGACCAGCCCGCCCACCCAGGAATCAGCACCAGGTCAGCACCTGAAAGGACACAGTGCACTTTTGGGTAGTGGAGGAAGTGACTGAAAGTAGGGTGAGAGCAGAACAAGCAGCATTGTTCCCTTCTCTGATTCCTCCCCAACATATAGCACCACAACAAAGCCAAGTGGGTTGCCCTGCCCTAGCGAACACTTAAGGCTCCGCCCCTTAAAACGTAACAAATTCACCAAGACAAAGACATGTAGCCTAAATGAAAGAACAGATCAAAACCCCAGAAAAAGAACTAAGCAACAAGGAGATAGCCAACCTATCAGATGCAGAGTTCAAATCAGGATATTCACAGAAATGATTGAGTATGGCCACAAAATGAAGAAGTGAAGGTTATACAAAGTGAAATAAAGAAAAATATACAGGGAACCAATAGCAAAGGGAAGGAAACCAGGATTCAAATCAACTATTTGAAACAGAAGGAAGAAATAAAAATTCAATCGGAACAGAATGAAGAAACAAGAATTCAAGAAAGCAAGGAGAGGCTTAGGAACTCCTGGGACAACTTAATGTTTCAACAACCAAATCATAGGGTTGCCAGATGGAGAAGAGAAGAGCAAGAAATTGAAAGCTTATTTGAAAAAATCATGAAGGAAAACTTCCCCAGTCTGGCATAAGAAATAGACATGCAAGTCCAGGAAGCTCAGAAAGTCCCAAATAAGTTGGACCCCCAAGGAAGAGCACACCAAGGCACATCATAATTAAATTACCCAGGATTAAAGATAAGGAGAGAATCTTCAAAGCAGCAAGAGAAAAGGAGACAGTTACCTACAAAGGCGTTCCCATGAGACTGTAAGCTGATTTTTCAAAAGAAACCTTGCAGGCAAGAAGGGGCTGAAAAGAAGTATTCAAAGTGATGAAAAACAAGGGCCTACATCCAAGATGACTCTATCTAGCAAAGCTATCACCTAGAATGGAAGGACAGATAAAGTGCATCCCAGATAAGATGAAACTAAAGGAGTTCATCATCACCAAGCCCTTATTATATGAAATGTTAAAGGACTTACCTAAGAAAAAGAAGAAGATCAAAACCATGAACAGTAAAATGACAGCAGACTCACAACTATCAACAACTGAATCTAAAAAACAAAAACAAAGTAAGCAAACAATTAGAAGAGGAAGAGAGTCACAGAAATGGAGCCATATTAAGAGTTATCAGCAGGGAGGAGGTGGGAAGAGAATGGGAGAAAAGGTACAGGGAGTAAGCAGCATAAACAGTATGTACAAAATAGGGGAGGTAAGAATAGTATAGGAAATGAAGAAGCCAATGAACTTATATGTATCACCCATGGACATAAAAGTAAGGCAACGAGGGTAAGGGTGGTTCCAGTCGGAGGAGGCTAAAGGGAGAAAAAATAATGGGAAAACTGTAATAGCATAATCAATAAAATATATTTTAAAAAAGAATGTATTACTTACTAGACATATCTTTAAAAATTCCATCACAGATTACATATCGTTTTGTCTTAAAGAAGACCCAACACAAAATGTAATTTTTACTCAAATCTAAGTGAGAATATATGCTTGAGATGTTATATAATTTCCTTTTACATCCAAAATCATAGCTGTCCTAGGCTACCTGTATACAAAATTCGTTATAGAATAGGAAAAAATACTTGAAGTTCGAGCGACATATTTGTGAGTTTTGTAGGTTTCTAAATTAACTTCATTGCCTATTTTTGTGTGAAAGTGAGTTATTTTGCCTTTATTTTTAAAAGATTTTTCCTTTATGTAGTATTCTACATGTTTCTTCATTGTCTTCTGGCTTGCATTTTTTCTGATGAGAATTTTGTGGTAACTCACCTTTTTTATTGTCTGTTACGTGTCTTTTCTTTGGCTGCTTTTAAGATGTTCTGTTTGTAAATAGTTCATTAAATTTGGTTTTGATATGCCTTGTTAAAGTTTTCTTGTGTTCTTGTGCTCAGGAAGAGTTGAGCTTCCTGGATCTGTGATTTTATAACTTGCGTAAGATTTGGAAAATATTTCACCCACTATTTCTTCAACTATTTCTTCTCTCATGCCCCTCTCCTCGTTACTGCAGGGACACCAATAACATGTATATACTCATAGAAGTTCTAACCACAGCTCATTGACACAATGTCCATTTTTTGTTTTTGTTGTCTTTTTCCTGTGTGTCATTGGGTGTACCCTGTTACTGTATCTTCAAGAGACAATCTGTTCTGTGTACTGTGTATCTCTTGTCTTCTGCATTGCAAGGTTTTCCACTCTGGATTCTGGTTGGAACACAGACTTTTATTTTTGAAGGTTTTGTTCTCCAAACAAAGAGATTTCAGCATCTTCTTTAAAGATGAGGTTCCATTATCTTCTCACTTGTGACAAGAACTTATCTTTATTGCACTGTTCATAAATTTCCCGCTGGCTACTTTGAAGATTTTATCTTTTTTGGCTAGTTTTATGCAGTTTGATGATAATGTTCCTTGTATGGTTTTCTTTATGTTTGTCTTTCTGGGCTTCATTAGGAATCTTAAATCTGACTAGAGTTTTCATAAAATTTGAGTAATTTTCACCATATGTCTTCAGTTGTTTTTGCTGCCTGCTTATATTCTCCCTGTGCCCTCCCCCCACTAGCTTTTCAGATACTGATACTGATAAATGTACATATGTTAAATTGCTTGATTGTGACTCACAGCATTGCTGTCCTGTCCTGCCCCCTCTACCCCTCCTCATCTTTTTTCTTTGCTTTAGTTTGGATAGCTTCTACTGCTATGCTATGTTTGTAAGTTCTTGGTCTTTTCTTCTGTAATGTTTACTCTACTGTGAAGCTAATCCAGTTAATTTTTCATTTCAGATATTTTTCAGCTGTAGAAGTTTAGTTTGGTTCTTTTTTTTCTCTTACATTTCTCTGTTCATTATATCTGCTTTTTCCTGTTAGTTCAGAGACATTTACAATCACCATTTTAAAGTAATAGTTTCTAATTCTTTTCTATTGACTATTTTTTTTCTTAATTGTGTTAACAGTTGACTTTGAGGATGGTGGAGGTTAAATGGTGGAGGGATTGAGCAAAAATGAGAAAGGACTCATGGACATGGACAACAGTGTGGTGATTGCTGAGGGAGGGGGTATAAAGGTACTAAGTGGTAATGGGAAAAAATACAATAAAAATTAAGTTTAAAAAAACACATAAAAATATTTTTTTAAAACCACAACCAACTACCCACATAGCAGAAAATAAAGGTAGAGGTGCAGAACCGCCATCAGATCACCGCTAGTAGCCTTGGCAGTCCAGCAGAAGGCACCTGCTTTGCGCCCTGCCAGCACCACCATGCTGAAGAAATTCAACAAGAAAGACAAGGAATCGGGTGGAGGCTCCAACCCATTCCAGCACCTTCAGAAGAGTGCAGTACTCCAGGAGGCCCGTGTATTTAATGAAACTCCCATCAACCCTCGGAAATGTGCTCACATTCTCACCAAGATCCTTTACCTCATAATAAACCAGGCAGAGCACCTGGGGACCACTGAAGCAACTGAGGCCTTTTGTGCCATGACCAAGCTCTTTCAGTCCAATGATCCCACCCTCCGTCAGATGTGCTACTTGACCATCAAAGAGATGTCTTGCATTGCAGAAGATGTCATCATCGTCACCAGTAGCCTGACAAAGGACATGACTGGGAAAGAAGACAGCTACCGGGGCCCGGCTGTGCGAGCCCTCTGTCAGATCACTGATAGCACCATGCTGCAGGCTATTGAGCGCTACATGGAACAGGCTATTGTGGGCAAGGTGCCCAGTGTCTCCAGCTCTGCCCTGGTGTCTTCCCTGCACCTGTTGAAGTGCAGCTTCGACATGGTCAAGTGCTGGGTGAATGAGGCCAGGAGGCGGCATCCAGTGATAACATCATGGTCCAGTACCATGCACTGGGACTCCTATACCATGTACATAGGAATGATGACCTGGCTGTCAATAAGATGATTAGCAAGTTCACCCAGCAGGGCCTCAAGTCTCCCTTTGCCTATTGCATGATGATCCGGGTGGCCAGCGAGCAGCTGAAGGAGGACAGCAGCCGCGACAGCCTACTGTTTGACTTCATTGAGAGCTGCTTGCGCAACAAGCATGAAGTGGTTGTGAGGCTGCCTCAGCCATTGTCAATCTGCCAGGCTGCAGTGCCAAAGAGCTGGCCCCATCTGTGTGGGTGCTCCAGCTTTTCTGCAGCTCACCCAAGGCAGCCCTCCGCTATGCCGCTGTCCACACCGTCAATAAGGTTGCCATGAAGCATCCTTCAGCAGTGACAGCCTGCAACCTGGACCTAGAGAACCTGGTCACAGATTCTAATCGTAGTATTGCTACATTGGCCATCACCACCCTCCTCAAGACCGGCAGCGAGAGCAGCATCAACCGCCTTATGAAGCATATCTCTTTTATGTCAGAGATCTCAGATGAATTCAAGGTGGTGGTTGTCCAGGCCATCAGTTCCCTGTGTCAGAAGTATCCTTGAAAACACACTGTCCTTATGAACTTCCTGTTTATCATGCTGCAGGAAGAGGGTGGCTTTGAGTATAAGTGGGCCATCATGGACTGCATCATCAGCATCATTGAGGAGAACTCAAAAAGCAAGGAGACGGGACTGTCACACCTAGGTGAATTCATCAAGGACTGTGAGTTCACTGTGCTGGCCACCCGCATCCTGCATCTCCTGAGCCAGGAGGGGCCCAAGACCAATAACCCCTCCAAGTACATCCGCTTCATCCATAACCGAGTGGTCTTGGAGCATGAGGAGATCCGGGCTGGTGCTGTGAGTGCTCTAGCCAAGTTTGGAGCCCAGAATGAGGAGATGTTACCCAGTATCTTGGTCTTGCTGACAAGGTATGTAATGGACGATGACAATGAAGTCAGGGACCGAGCCACGTTCTATCTCAATGTCCTGGAGCAGAAGCAGAAGGCCCTCAATGCTGGCTATATCCTAAATGGTCTGACCGTGTCCATTCCTGATTTGGAAAGAGCTCTACAGCAATATACTCTAGAACCATCGGAAAAACCTTTTGACCTCAGGTCTGTGCCCTTGGCCACCACACTCATGACAGAACAAAAAACAGAAAGCATCCCCATCGCAGCAGCCAAGCAGCCTGAGAAAGTGGCAGCTACCCGACAGGAGATCTTCCAGGAGCAGTTGGCAGTGGTGCCGGAGTTCCATGGGCTGGGGCCCCTCTTCAAGTCCTCGCCTGAGCCTGTGGCCCTCACTGAGTCAGAGACAGAGTATGCCATCCACTGCACTAAACGCACCTTCACTGACCACATGGTGTTCCAGTTTGACTGCACGAACACACTCAATGACAAGACTTTGGAGAATGTCACAGTGCAGATGGAGCCAACTGAGGCCTATGAGGTGCTCTGTTACGTGCCTGCCCGGAGCCTACCCTACAGCCAGCCTGGAACCTGCTACACGCTGGTGGCACTGCCCAAGGAAGACCCTACAGCTGTGGCCTGCACATTCAGCTGCATGAAGAAGTTCACTGTCAAGAACTGTGACCCCACCACTGGTGACACTGATGCGAAGGCTATGAGGATGAATATGTGCTGGAAGATCTGGAAGTCACTATAGCTGATCACATTCAAAAGGTTATGAAGCTGAACTTCGAAGCTGCCTGGGATGAGGTAGGAGATGAGTTTGAGAAGGAGGAAACATTCACCTTATCTACCACCAAGACACTTGAAGATGCTGTGTGAAACATTGTGAAATTCCTGGGAATGCACCCTTGTGAGAGGTCAGACAAAGTGCCAGATAACAAGAACACCACACATTATTCGTGGCCGGTGTGTTCCGGGGTGGTCACAACATCCTTGTGCATTCTCGGCTGCTGCTTTTCGACAGTTACGATGCAGGTGACAGCCAGAAGTTCATAGGAGCTGCCAGTAGATATCATCTTGGCATCTGTGGGCTGAGGCCAGCCTGTATAGACCCTACCCCTACCCTTTCCCCCCAACACAATGCAGAAGTCACACCTTCCTCGATATACCCAGGGGAAATTCCTTCCTAAGCCTCTGTATTCAAAAACAATTAGGAATCATTGGGATTTTTTTTTTTTAACTTAACCTTTACCCCAGGACTGTTGGGGGGTAACTTTTTTTTTTTTTTTAAGGATGATTTTAGTTTCTATTAGAACTTGCTGCCCTTCCTACCGGAGGACATCCCAAGTTAATAAAATGCTCGCATCTCTTGAATTTTTCCCGAGAGAAACCAACTTATCCCTATCGATAAATCAGCATGTATTTAGTGGGAAAAAAAAAAAAGGAAAGATCTTACAACATTAAAATATAAAGCAAGCTAAATCTAAGACCTGAGAAAAAACTAAAAATTTTAGAGGAAACTTTATAAGACTATGGGTATGTATAACTTGGGAGCTAAGGAAACTATTTTAATCAAAATGCAAAACCCAAAAGCTATAAATATAAAATTCCACATATCCTACTACATAAAAAAGTAACTTTTTGTATGTGAGAAAAAGGTGTGAAAACAATACAAAGTAGACAAAATAGATTGGGGAAAATTATTTGTAATGTGAGTGACAGATAAAGCATTAATATCTAACAGAGCATTCACAAATTTGTATTTAAAAAACACAAATTGTTCAGTCCTGTCCGTGTGGGCTTTATATATTTAATGTCTCCAAAGATATTATCCTTAAAGATTGACAGTATGCTTTTTTTAGTTATTTAAATGTCCTGTAGTATGTTTATTTTGTTTTGTTTTTATTGTGATTTAATTGATGTATACTACTACATTAGTTTCAGGGGCATAATGAAACATAATGATTCAATATATGTATATATTATTAAATGATCACCATAATAAATCTAGTTAATGCCCATGAAAAAGAAAAAAAGAAAACTTTTTTTTTCATGGAAGATAATTATACTCTTAATTAGAAATCTTAGGAAATTTTTTTTCAAATGACAAGTTATGATAATTTCTTTATACCATGTCTCTGAAAATTGGGAGTTAAATTTGATCACTTTGATTAACTTAATATAATTTAAATTATTACTGATATTTTTTATTATGCAGTTTGGGTGATGGTTGCAGTTTTCCAACTCGCCTTGTGGGAATGGATCCAGAACAAGCTTCTGTTACAAACCATAATGAATATGCCAGAAGGTGTGCTTCTTGTCATTTAATTTTTTTAGTATTCATTATAAAGTAAACTCTATATATGTGTGATATATACACATCTTATAGATAAATACAATAGTAATTTAGCAAAAGAGAAACACCATTTAAATTTTTTAACTGAGGGTTAATATGTAATAATATATGTCCACTTATAAATTATATTATTATAGGCTTAAGCATGTGTACTTACTGTGCTTCGGATAACGATACTTTTTATCATCCAAACCAGAACAGTTTTCTGAATAAGAGAATGCTTGCCCTTAACTATGTAAACTAGAACAGTCACATAAAACTGGAAATGTGTGGGTAAAAAAGGAAGCATCACTGCTCTGAATATACTGCATCTTCCTAGAAACTAAGACATTTCTTCCTTCAAGATTTTATTTAGTTGGCTTATGTGCTCTATTTTTTTCAAAGAAATTAGTCATGGTTCTATTCACCATTTTATTTTAATAAGCACATTTTAACTATTGTGAAAATAATACTAAGGATTCAAAAATAGAAATATAAAATTTTCTCATTCATTCATCTTAGAGGATATTTTCTCCATATTTGCATGGCAGACACACTAATTCACACATTCAGTGTACATTTTAAGTGATATTTTAATGAAGATAGAGATACTTCTGTCAAAGTGATAAAGTTGGGACTTATTTACTACAGAAATTAGTTGTGGGGGTGAAGGGATTATTAAGTACAAGCTCGCACATTAACGTCAGGAGTATGTAGCTTTAGAACCTAAGGTGTTAAGACCTTAGGGCTCCAGCATTTATTGTGAGTCTAAACATGTCATTTAAACTACCGGAGCCTCAGTTTCCAGGTATACTGACCTGCAAGGTTTTTTGTGAAGGTTGAGATAATGTGTATACAGCACTTAGCACAGTGTCTGGCCCATAGTAGGTACACAATAAATACTAGCTCCCTTTTCCTACTTTTTTCATTCCTCTATTCCCTCCCTCCCTGGATCTGTTAGCTGTTAGCTAGAAAAATAAGTCTACGTTAAGTCACTTAATCATTTTTTTCCCCATTAGATCTAAACTACAGAGGTAGAAAGCAGAAAATTTGGGAAATGACAGGTAATTTTTTTTTGTTGTTCTGGCCACAGACATAGATCCTCACATGTCCTTGTTCTACCGTATAGCTCTTAATTAACATATGTTAAAAATGTTTCAGGCTGGCCTCTGAAGCTTTTTTCTCTTGTCAAATTGTTTTCATTGGCAGTGTTGGAGTACATATTCTTGGATCTGGAGAGCCATTTAATGGAGAATTGGGACATATTTTTCTTTTAAGATAGATTTTTTTTTTCCAGTGTTGAGATCTTTTAAGTTGCACTCACATGTTTAAGAGGAGTACTAATTTGCAGCTTATTAATTAAATATTTTTAATTGAGCATTAAACTGTTTACTAAATTATTTGCTCTTCTTTTCAGTATTGGCTTAAATCAACCCTTTCCTATCAAACCACTTAGTGAATCGAAAAACCGATTGCTAGACAGTGAATCTCAGTGGACAGAGAATGGCTCTGAAGAAAGCACTGTAAGATCAGGTAATACTTGTCATCTGAAAATATTGCTTCATGTGGTTAAAGTGAAACTTGCCAGACTTGATAAGTATACAAAAATCAAAATAATGTGATATTTCAAAATACTAAAGTATGCCCTGGTTGGTGTGGCTCTGTTGGTTGGAGTGTCATGCCATAACCAAAAGGTGTGAGTTCACTTCCCAGTCAGGGTATATACCTGGGCTTCAAGTTCTGGCCCCAGTGCAAGTGTGGGATTGTGCAATTTCTGGTCCAGGCACATGGGATCCTCAGTCCTGGTGTGTATGGGAGACTACCTATCGAAGCCTCTCTCCTGCATTGATGTTTCTCTCTCTCCTTTCCTCTCTCTTTAAAAAGCAATGGGAAAAAAAGTCCTCGGGTAAGAATTAAAAATATTGAAATACTAAAATATGTGAAACTTTTAAATAAAATGTCATATATATGGGGTATTAGTATTTATTGGTAGCTTTTATGGAGAAGAGTGTAGTGGCTATTGCTGTGTCTTGTTTGGTTCACTGTTCTATTTTGTTGTTGTTGTTGTTATCCAGCTGTATATTTCTTTACCTCAGACATAGAAAGTTCTTTTGGCATAATATTCTGCGTAAAACTTAAACAAAGTGAGTTCTGGTCAAGATGGTGGTGTAGGTAAACATGCAGTACTTAGAACCTCCCACAACCACATCAAAATCACAACTAAAATACAGAAGAGCCGTCATTTAGAGTGCCTGAAATCTAGTTGAACAGAAGTCCTGCAACTAAGGATATAAAGAAGCCACCACCTCGAGACTGGTAGGAGAGGTAAAGACATAGAACAGGCTGGTTCCACACCCCAGATGGTGGTTAAAAATTAGGAGGGATATATCAGCTGCAGAGGTCTCTACTAAGGAGCAAAGGTCCTGGCCCCACATCAGACCTCCCAGCCCAGGGTTCCAGTGCCAGGAAGAGAAGTCCCCCATAACATCTAGCTGGATTGTGACTGAGACTGAGGGCTTATGGAGTCCCAGGCATTCCTTTTAAAGGGTCTGCATGGACTTACTCGGACTCACTCCCTCTGAGCTCCAGCACTGGGAGAACAGCTCAAAAGGCTCCAGGGAGATACGGGGAGGCATTGAATTGTTTGGCTTCAGGGTCAGGGCTGGAGAAGCAGCTTCCAGACAAAAGTGCTGGCAGAGGCCATTGGTCCTTTTCAGATCCCTCCCTCACACAGAGCCCTAAGCACCATATCTGAATTTCTGACAACCTGACTAACTCCATTGGCCCTACCCTGCTGATTACCTTAGACACTCCCTCACTGCCCACCATTTGCAGGGCCACCTAAGTCCTTTCCATACAAATAGCCTATTCTGGCTGATGCTTTGGACTTCTGAAAAGTCTCTTAAATAAGCAGCATCTGGCTTCTGCTTACCCCATACCTCTTGCTCCAGACCTGGCACTAACAGCAGCCAGTCTTGGTTTGCAAATTGGCCTTTCCTGGGCAACTCCAAATAAGCACAAGTAACAAGAAACTGCAGATCACTTTGAACCTCATGCTAGGTGGTCCCAGGCGGAGCACAGGCGGTGGGTGACCTGCATCTCTTGGGAAGCCCTAGAGCCAGCACTCCTGGCAGGCAGCTTTAGACCACCCTGGATTATATCTCAGTCTCCTCCGGAGGACACAGACTCCACAGCTAGACTTGGCAGGCAACAAAGCCACACTGAAGTGAGTCCTGCTTAATGGGGTTGGCTGCTGCATAACACCTCCTCTAATGTAGTTGCCAGTCCTCACAGCTGATCAACCTGGGGGTCATTCCTTCCCAGTGGCTTGCCAACAGCAAGCAAAGCTCAACCAATGGGTTGGTCAAAAAGTTTATTTAGTTTTTTCCATAAAATAAAGGGCATATTTTTCTTTTTCTTTTTTAAAATTTTTATTCTATTACAGTTGTCTGAATTTTTCCCCCTTTGCCCTCTCTACCCATCCCACCCCACCCCCCTCTCCCACAGTCAGTCCCCACTCTGTTGTCCATGTCCATAGGTCATTCATACATGTTCTTTGTTTAGTCCCTTCTTCTTTCTGCCATTGCAAAGGGCATATTTTTCATTTTGACCAAAAACTTTATTGATTTGGAACCAGTCAAAAGTGATGGATAAGTGAGAGATTATAAGGATGCTCAATGAACTTAGTGAGAACTTCAACAAACAGGAAACAAAAAATTCAGGTAGAAAACATAAAAAGTTGGTCAGAAATGAAGAATACAATAACTGAAATGAGGAATAGATTAAGGGACTGAATAATAAAATAGGTGAAGCAAAGGATCAGATCAGCAATTCTGAAGATAAGGGAGCAGAAAACAATCAAAACAGCAAAAAGAAAATCCAAAAAGTAAAGATAGTTTAAGGAGTCTCTGGTTCAACTTCAAATATAACAATGTTCACATTGTAGGGGTGCAGGAAGGAAAAGAGAGAGCAAAGAATTGAACACCTATTTGAAAAAATAATGATGGACTACTTCCCTAATCTGGTGAAAAAAAAAATAGGCATACAAGTCCAGAAGTACAGAGTGTCTCAAATAAAATGTACCCAAAGAGACCCCCACCAAGACACATTATAATGAAAGTGCCAAAGGTTAAAGACAGATAGAATCTTAAAAGCAGCATGAGAACAGCAGTTAGTTACTTACAGAGGAGCTCCCATAAGACTGTCAACTGACTGCTCAACAGAAACTTTGCAGGCTAGAAGTGATTGGCATGAAATATTCAAAGTGATGAAAAGCAAGGACCTACAAGCAAGATTACTTGACCCAACAAAGCTATCATTTAGAATCAAAGGACTAATAAACAGCTTCCCAGACAAGAGGGAGTTCATCACCACTAAACTAGTATTATAAAAAATGATAATGGGTCTTATTTAAGAAGAAAAAAAAAGATCAAAAACATGAATAATAAAGTCTCAATAAATACACATCTTTCAATAATTACATTAAGTGCAAATGGATTAAATGCTCCAATCAAAAGACAAACAGTGACTGAATGGATAACAAAACAAGACCCTCACACATGCTGTCAGAAAGATACTCACTTCAGATTGAAAGATACAAAGACTGAAACTAAAGGGATAGAAAAAGATATTTCATGACACTGGAAACAAAAAAAAGTTGGTATAGCAATACTTATACCAGACAAAATAGACTTTAAAATAAGAATCAAAGACAGACCCAGCATCTTCATTTCTCGGTATTTACCCGAAGAAACCCAAAACACTAAATCAAAATACACATACCTCCATATATTCCTTGCAGCATTATTTACTATAGATGAGCTATGGATGTACCTAAGGGTCCATCAGTAAATGAGTGGATAAAGAAGTAGTGGTGCATATATGCAATGGAATATGATTCAGCCATAAAAAATAATGAAATATTACCATCTGCAACAACATGAATGGATCTAGAGGGAATATTGCTGAATGAAATAAGTTAGAGAAACACCAATGCCATATGATTTTACTTATATGTGGAAACAAACGAACAAGCAGAATAGAAACAGACTCATATAACAAAATACTTTAATGGTTGCCATAGGAAAGGGGTTGGGGGTCTGGGTGAAAAAGGTGAAGGGATTATGATGTATAGATTGATAGTTACAGAATAGTCACAGGGATATAAAGTACAGTATAAGGAATCTAGTCAATATTTTAATAACTGTATGATGTCAGATGGGTACTAGATTTATCAGGGTGATCATGTTGTTAAGTTATATAAATGTCTAATCATGCTATTGTACACCTGAAACTACTTAAAACCCATTTATTCTTTAGGGTCCTAGGTTTTGCTTATTTGAAAGTAATTTTTCAAAAAGCATTATGCTCTCACTGCCTTGTTATAAAAAGAGTGCACTTCAGTGTATTTGAACCATTTTTTTAAAAGATTTTTTTTTTTTAGAGAGATGGAGGGAGAGAGAACAAGAGAACCATTGACTGGTTGCCTCTCACATGCCCCCAACTGGGAACCTGGCCGACAACCTAGGCATGTGCCCTGACCGGGAATCAAACCAGTGACCTTTCAGTTCACAGGCCAGTGCTCAATCCCCTGAGCCACATGAGTCAGGGCTATTTTAACCTTTTCTTGATGATGCAATCATTTCATGAATTGTGGATGCATTACTGAACAGTTGATAGGATAGAAGTAGGCTTTTGGGCCCTGGCTGGGTAGTTCAGTTGTTTAGACCATCATCCCAATTTTGCCATGGTTATGGGTTTGATTCCTGATCAGGGCACATACCAGAAGCAACGAATGAATGCATAAATAAGTGGAACAACAAATCAGTCTCTCTCTCTCTCTCCCCCCCCCCTTCCTCTCTCTCCTCCTCCCCTCCCCCCTTTTCCCTCCCCCCTTAACTCTCTCCCCCTTCTCTCTCTCCCTTCTCCCCTTTCGCCCTCCTCCTCCTTCTCCCTTCCTCCCTCACTCCCTTTCTCTGTCTAAAAATCAATCAATAAATAAATTAATATTAAGAAGTGGGATCAGGCCTAGGTCTATAATGTAGTCTGACCATTTACTAGTATTATAGCCTAAAATATATTTGTGGCAGTTCTTAATAATAATAGTAATAACATGGTCATTATCTTCTTTCACTGTAGAAAAATAATTTGGACATTCAGGTCAGTTTGTACTAACTCCAGGAAATACCCTGACACTTTAAAACTTGCTGTCACATTTTCTGATTTTTTTTGTCTTTTTGGATTTTTACAGCATTTAAATTACTCTCTAAAATTAGTGTCATTGAAATCATTAGACTCCTTTTATAAGATGAAGAGAAAGATTCATTTTTTTAAATTCTCATCCAAGGACATGTTTATAGATTTTAGAGTGAGAAAGGAGGGAGGAAAGGAGAGAGGGAGGGGAGGGAGGGAGACACACACAAATACACATTGATGTGAGAGAGAAACATTGATTGGTTGCCTCTTGTACACACCCCAACTAGGCACTGAACCCACAACCTAGGCATGTACTCTGAATGGGAATCAAACCCACAACCTTTTGATTTATGGGACAATGCTCCAACCAACTGGGCCATACCAGCCAGGGCTCTGGTGAACGTCTTTAAAGCCAATTGACATTTTCACAAAAATAAAAATAAAACCAGACTTCTAGCTCTTAGCACTGCTTTCCTTACTTCTGGGTTCCACAAGAAGACAAATGGTTGGCACCATATGCCTATTTAGTGCATACATAAGAGATGCCTTTACTTCAATCACCAGTTTTGCTGTTTAGTCAGAAACTTAATACATTTTCTTTTTTGGTCATGTCATATGTAATTATGTGCTTACAGGGACAAAGAACCATGTTACAGTGGCAATAGAAAATTGAGTACGATGTGTTCATAACTAACTCATTGAATAAGAATAAGGTAAGACAATACAAAAGTAATTTCCTTGTACAAATGCAGTTTATTTGCATATTTCATGATCTTGAAACAATTTGCAAATCAAATTTTTACTCTTTCAGTTATATCAGCAGAATTATGTAGTTCAGGAGAAATCGGAAGACAGCTGCCTATATCATATTTTCCTTACCAACCCTAGCACAATTTTAGTAAATATTTATTGGTAGATTAAAGGAAAAACTAGTAAAATTTATGTAGGATTGGTATGCGGACAACCAACTTTTTTAGTAAACAGTACCTTATTATTTAAGGGAAAAAGGTGACTTTTGGGCACTATTGAAATTTGATCCAGAGAAGTGACAAACATTAAAGGCTGAAAAAAAGACTTAAGAGGTTCATTGATGTTATTTACTTTGTAAAAGAAACAGAAAAAGAGCAATTTACAATAGGGAAGTATGTGGATGAGTCATTCTTTGTGTCCTGGGTCAGGAGCTGTAGTGGGCAGTATCAGTGTATCTGCAGTCTCAGCAATGAGGGTAGTGGCTAACCTTAAGTTGAACTGCAGGGAGGTAGTGAAGTCTATCCTGATGCTAAAGTCAAGGAAGGATACAGCTGCTTGCATTCAATAAGGAGCTGAGCTCAGTACTCAGTGGCATCCTGTGAAGGTGTTCAATTTTCGATAAACCTACTTAGAGCTATGTTTTGGTTACCTGTTGCTCTGTAACGAACAGCTCACAAGTCTAGCAGCTTCGGACAACACACATTCATGACCATAGTTCCTGTTGTCATGAGCTCATTTTTTAAAAGGGCTGTCATCTGCAGTCGCAGGGAGGCCTCTGCTTCCTTGCATGACATTTGTCGCAAGCATTCAGTTCCGTACCAAGGACCTCCCCACACCCAGTCCAGAGTTATGCCAGAGCCTGAGACCCATACAGAATCAGAATACAGGCACTCAGTCTGGACTCTGAAGATGAGCACCAGGAGCATTTGTAGTGGTCACAGTCCTGGTCAGTGCCACTGACAGCTGTGGCTGTGGTACAGCATGTGGGTCTCAGATGAGAGTCCTTAGTCCTGGATTTGTTTTTTCTTACTGTAGGTGGGCTGGTGGCTGCTGCCAGTGGTGGTGGAAAATCCCCAGCTGAAGTTCCCTGAACTGTTGCCAAGGGTCTTTCCTAACCCCCGCAGCAGTCTTAGGAAGGTGGATAAGATGTCTTCTCAGGTCATGTCCCAGTTAACAGTAAGGGAGAACCCTGAGAATATGCCTGTTGTAAAATACTCTTCTGATGCTTCGGGGGAAGAAAGGCAGTGATATCCCCTTTTTACTGCTTATAAAAATCCTTATTGTCATTATAGTATAATAGTATTAAGGTATTTCTTTCCTATTTAGTAGTATTAAAGCATTTCTTTCCTATTTTGTTAGTAGTTTTATACCTTAGCCCACAGAACCACTTACTAAATCTTGTATTCAGAAATGTAAAAGCAAATTTTAACCAATAACTCAGTTGTTTTTGGTTTTATAGGTTTATAAAGAACATATTATGGACTGATATTTTCAGTATTATTTGCAAGAAAATTGTCAATGGGATGAAATATTTGAAGTATAGCAAAAGATATATTTTTTTCAAAAGAAGCCTTTGTACAGATCGCTGAATCCACAGAAGCGCTACTTTAGGACAGAACGGGAAGATGCCTTAATCTTAAATAATTTCAACAATGACTTACAGCTACAAAAGTGACTTAATTTTACTTTGCAAATAACACCTGTTATGAGATGTTATAATGGGTTAGATCACATGGTAACATGGCATATGTATTTTTGGATACCTAAGTTACGCTATCAGAGTTGTTTTCTTAGTGTCCATGTGAACTGTGACTGCAGAAACACAAGCTTAAAAAACTTGTCTTAATTGAAGTACATCTGGGGCAGTTTGGTGGCTAAAAGTGAATGATAATATCCAAATCACTGTTGCTTGTACTATGTAAGGAAAAGAAAAGAGCTGTTTTTTAAAAATTGAGTGTTTGGTAATTTATAATTACTGTTTTATACTTTTCAACATTTTTAATAAAGGTTTTTTATTGTTGGCTCTACAGTAACACTCATAAGGGTTAAGATATCTAAATATAATGATTTAAAACATGGAGCACATTTGAATAATTCATTGAAGGCTTAGTTCTGAGCATCAATACAACAATTTGTATTATGTGCTTAAAGCTTAAAGAAAACTTGGCAGTTTAAGAAATATTTTTGTTTCTCTCTGCTTTAAAATTACTTTCTGTTAAATTTTTATTAGTATACTCGCAAGCAAACACAAAGGTACGTGTGCTGTAGAAATATTGGACAAAGTAGAAATAGGCAGAAGTGGCCAGAAGAAAAGTGAAGAAAAAGATAGACAGGCTGTTGTAAGCTGTTAAAAATATTTTCAGTCCTAAGGTATGTAGAATGCAACATGTTATTAAATTGACTTTGAAATTTCAATTTAGGTAATGAAAAATTACTTTAGAACTTTTTACAGTAATCCTATTAACAGCTTTAACAGTGACTTAAAATGCAGTTTCATAGGGTGAAACTGTTTAGGATCATGCTTCTCTCAGCAAAGAAATTTTACTTGAGTAGCCATTTGAAACTTTCAGTCTCTGACAGGTAGAGTTCGCTGTTAAAAGCAAAATATAAGATCTGAACTACTAACAGCAACTTCTTGCTGCCTAGCCACTACCCTCTTTCCTTTCGAAATCCAGTCTAAGTGGCAAGAATTATTGCATTACTTATAAAGGAAAATACAGTATCTAATAAATGTTAATCCTTGTTTATACTGTTTAGACAAATATACACATACAAACCAAAATAATTGATTGCTTCCAGGAGTGGATAGAAATCTTTTGTGTATGTTGACAATTTTTATTTCTTCATTTGTGAATTATCTGAGAACCTAATAAGTATCCAGCACTGTGCTGCATGTTTAAAAACAAGTACCACAAAATCTTCCAAAGAACCATGCAAAATAAATACCACAGTCTCTATTTTACAGATAAGAAAGCGGAGGCATAAAGATCTTAAGTATCTTCTCAAGGTCACACAGCAAGTAAATGACAAAGTTTTGCTTCAAATTCAGATCAGTGATCCCCAATTTCATGCTCTGACTGCAGTACCACATTGCTTCCCTGAGATAGTTTTGAAATGTATTTTAATAGAGGGGGTAAGATTAAAGAACTCCTTTGCTAGCCATGTAAGGAATATTGTGAGACTGCTTACTTGTGTCTATTTAAAGTTTTGAAGGTAGAGAAGGAATGAATGAGAGACCTTTTCACAATTACAAAATCCAACTGCATCATTTGTATAGACTCTGAAGAGTTAAATGAGTTGCTAGATGCGGTGGTTTAATCAAAAGATGGGACAAAAGAGGGCAAAAAAAATACAAACAGCACAAGAATCTGAATCTTGTCAGATTCATGGCTCTGTGTGCTTTGCACAATGGGTTTCCTGTTTGGATTTCTCTCTGCACGCACCTGGTGACTCTGCTAAAATGTCAGATCCTCTACAAAACCTCACCATTTTTCTTTTTCTTTCTTTTTTTAATTTTTAAAATTTAATTTTTACGGTATTTTTCCCCATTACTATTTAGTCCCTTATCCTCCCCTTCCCCTGGCAATCACCACACCTGTTGTCATGCCCATGCGTTCTTTTTCCTTTTTGCTCAATCCCTGCACCGCCTCACCTCTAGCCTACCCTCACTCGCTTCATCCTGCTCTCCATCTATGAGTCGGTCTCCATTTTCTTTGTAAGTTTAAGTTTCATCATTGGATTCCACATATGAATGAAATCAAATGGTATTCGTCTTTCTCTGACTGGCTTATTTCACTTAGCATAATGTTCTCTAAGTCCATCCATGCTGTCGTAGAAGGTTAAACTGTCCTTCTTTACGGCTGAGTATTATCTCATAGTTGTTTTATCCACTCATCTACTGGTGCACACTTGAACTACTTCTGTATTTTGGCAATTGTAAATAGTGCTGCAGTGAACATAGGGGTGCTTATGTTCTTTCGAATTAGTGTTTTGGGTTCCTTAGGATATATTACCAGAAGTGGGATCACTGGGTCAAAATGCAGACCCATTTTTAAGTTTTGAGATTTCTCCACACTGCTTTCCACAATGGTTGTACAAGTCTGCATTCCCACGAACAGTGCAAAAGGGTTCCCCTTTCTCCACATCCTTGCCAGCACTTGTTTGTTGATTTATTGATGATAGCCATTCTGACAGGTGTGAGATGATATATTATTGTGGTTTTAATTTTCACTTCTCTGATGATGAGTGACATTGAGCATCTTTTCATATGTCTATTAGCCACCTATATGTCCTCTTTGGAGAAGTGTCTCTTCATGTCCTTTGCCATTTCTTAATTGGGTTGTTTGTTTTTTTGGTGTTGAGTTTTGTTAAGTTCTTTATAAATTTTGGATATTATTTTACCACATGTGTTAGCGAATATGTCCTTCCATTCTGTGGGTTGTCTTTTTATTTTGTTGATGATTTCCTTTGCTGTGCAAAAATTTCTTAGTTTGATGTAGTCCCATTTGTTTTATTTTGTTTTTGTTTGTTTCCGTTACCTGGGGAAAGATATCTGATAAAATATTGCTGCAAGCAATGTCCAAGATTTTGCTGCCTATGTTTTCTTCTACAATTTTTATGGTTTTGGGTCTAACATTTAAGTCTTTGATCCATTTTGAATTTATTCCTGTGTGTAGTGTAAGAATGTGTCTCATTTCATTTTTCTGTACGTATCTGTCCAATTTCCCCAAAACCATCTATTGAATAAACTATCGTTAGTTAACCGATTGCATGTGCTTGCTTCCTCTGTCGAATATTAATTGACTATAAAGGTGTGGGTGTATTTCTGAGCTCTATTCTGTTCCATTAACCTACGTGTGTGTTTTTATGCCGGTACCATGCTGTCTGTGGCCTTATACTACAGTTTGATGCTAGGTAGCGTAATTCCTCCAACTTCGTTCTTCATTCTCAAGATACCTGTTGCTATGCGGGGCCTTTTGTGATTCCATATAAATTTTTGAAATATTTGTTCTAGTTCTGTGGAATCTTGTTCTGTGGATTGGAATCTTGATAGGAATTGTGTTCAGTGTATAGATTGCTTTGGGTAGTATGAGTATTTTAATGTTAATCCTCCCTATTCATGAACATGTTATGTGCTTCCACTTATTTGTATCTTACTCAATTTCTTTGTTAGTGTGTTATTGGCATATAAAAATGCAACTGATTTCTTGATATTAATTTTGTATACTGCTACTTTGCCAAATACATTGATCAGTTCTAGTAGTTTCTTGGAATCTCTGGTGTTCTCTATATATAGTATCATGTCATCTGCAAATAATGCCAGTTTTACTTCTTCCTTTTCAATTTGGATGTCTGTTATTTCTTCCTCTTGTCTGATTGCTGTGGTTAGGACTTCAGTACCATGTTGAGTAAGAGAGGTGAAAGCGGTTATCCCTATCTTGTTCCTGATCCTAAGGGGAATGCTTGTAGTTTTTGCCTGTTGACTATGATGCTGGCAGTGAGTTTGTCGTAAATGGCTTTTGTTATGTTTAGGTATATCCCCGCTGATCTCACTTTGTTGAGAGTTTTTATCATAAATGGGTGCTGGATTTTATCAAATGCTTTTTCTACATCTATTGATATGATCATGTAGTTTTTATCCCTCATTTTGTTTTTGTGGTGAATCACTTTTATTGATTTGCAAATGCTTTACCAACCTTGCATTACCAGAATACATCCCACATGATCATGGTGTGTGATCTTTTTTATGCGTTGCTGTTAGTGATTTGCTAATATTTTGTTGAAAATTTTAGCATCTAGGTTCTTCAGGGATATTGGCCTATAATTTTCTTTCTTTGTAGTGTCTTTATCTAGTTTTGGAATTAGGATAATACTGGTCTCATAAAATGAGTTTGGGAGCCTTCACTCCTCTTGAATTTTATGAAATAGTTTGAGGAGGAGAGATGTTAGTTCTTATAGGAATATTTGGTAAAATTCTCCTGTGACGCTATCTGGTCCAGGGATTGTGTTTGTTGGGAGTTTGGTTTGATTTTTGTTTTTTGTTTTTTTAAATTACTGCTTGAGTTTCACTAGATATAATTTGTCTGTTCAGATTCTCTGATTCTTCCTGAATTAGTTTTAGAAGAGTTTGGAAGATTTGTTTGTTTCTAGGAATTTATCCAGTTCATCCAGATTGTCCAGTTTGTTGGCATATAGTTCGTAATATTTTCTTAGAATCCTTTGTATTTCTTTGGTGTTAGTTGTTATTTCTCCTCTTTCATTTCTGATGTTATCTATTTGGGTCCATTCTCTTTTTTTCTTGATGAATCTGGTTAAATGTTTGTCAGTCCTGTTTATCTTTTCAAAGAACCAGATCTTCAATTCATTGATCTTTGTACAGTTTTGGGTTTTTTTTTACTATTTCATTTATTTCTGCTCTGATCTTTATTATTTCCTTCCTTGTACTCACATTGGGCTTGTTTGTTGTTCTTTTTCAAGTTCCTTTAGTGTAAAGCTAGATTGTTTATTTGAGCTTTTTCTTGTTTTTTGAGATCGGCCTGTGGTGCTGTGGATTTCCCTCTTAGGATTGCTTTCCCAGTGTCCCACAGATTTTAGATTGTCGTGTCCTAATTTTCATTTGTTTCAAGGTATCTTTTGATTTTTTCCTTGATCTCGTTGTTGACCTATTCATTGTTGTTATAAAGTTCCATGTCTTTGTGTATTTTTCAGTGTTCTTGTGATGGATTTCTAGTTTCATAGCATTGTGGTCAGAGAAGGTGCTTGATTTTATTTCAGTCTTCTTAAATTTATTGAGACTTGTTTTGTATCCTAACATGTGGTCTAACTTAGAAAATGTTCCATGTGCACTTGAAAAGTGTGTATATTCTGCTGCTTTGGAATGAAATTTTCTGAAGATATCAATTAACTTCATTTAATCTACTGTGTCACTTAAGAAAATCTACTTGTTGATTTTCTGTCTGGAGTACCAATCCAGTGAAGACAATGGAGTATTAAAATCCCCTACTATGACTGTATTTCTGTCAGTCTCTCTCTTTATGTCCATCAACATTTGCTTCACATATTTAGGCATTCCTATTTTGGGTGCATAAATGTTTACTAAGGCTATATCCTCTTGTTGAATTGGTCCCTTTATCATTATGTAGCGTCCTTCTTTGTCTCTTACTATATATAGCCTTAGTTTTAAAGTCTATTTTCTGATATAATTACTACTGCCCCAGCTTTTTTTCCTTTCCATTTACATGATGTATATTTTTCCATCCCTTTACTTTTAGTCTGTATGTATCTTTCAATCTGAGATGGGTCTTTTGGAGGCAGCATATATATGGGTCTTGTTTCCTTATCCATTCATCTACCCTCTGTCTTTTGGTTGAAGCATTTAAGCCATTTACATTTAAGGTGATTATTGATAGATTTGTATTCAGTGCCATTTTATTGTTAGACTATTTTCCTCTGTTTTTTGTCTTTCTCTTTTCCTCCTCCTCCTCTTCCTCCTCCCCCCTCTCCCTCCTCCTTCTCCTCTACCCTTCCCCCTCCTCCTTGCAAGCTCTTTAACATTTGTTGCAGAACTGGTTCAAACTCCTTTAGATTTTCTTTCTTTCTTTTTTTTTTTTAAGATTCTATTTATTTATTTATTTATTGGGGGGGCGGGAGAAAGAGAAGAGAAACATCAGTGTGTGGTTGCCTCTCACATGCCCCCTACTGGGGACCTGGTTCACACGCCTGCGCTCAGTCCACTGAGCCACACCAGCCAGAGCTCCTTTAGCTTTTTATTGTTTGGGAAGTTCCTATTTCTCCTTTGATTTTTAAATGATAGTCTTGCTGTGTAAAGTAACTTTGGTTGTAGGTCCTTGCTTTTCATCACCTTGGATATTTCTCACCACTCCCATCTGGCCTGAAATGTTTCTGTTGAGAAATCAGATGACAGTCTAATTAATGCTTCCTTGTATGTAACTATCTGCTTTTCTCTTGCAGCTTTTAGGATCCTCTCTTTGTGTTTAAGCCTTATCATTTTAATTATGAAGTGTCTTGGTGTAGGCCTCTTTGGGTCCAACTTTTCTGGGACTCTCTGAGCTTCTTGACCTTGAATGTCTTTTTCCTTCACCAGACTAGGGAAGTTTTCAGTAATTATTGCTTCAAATAGATTCTTGATTCCTTATTTGCTCTCTTCTTCTGATATTCCCATGATGCAGATGTTGTTACGCTTCATGTTGTCTGAAGTGTTTCTTAAGCTCTCTTCATTTTTTCAAATTCTTTTTTCTTTTTGCTGCTCTGCCTGGGTGATTTTTCTGCCTTGTCTTCCAAGTCACTGATTTGGTCCTCTCCTTCATCTAATCTACAGTTTATTCCTTCCAGCATATTATTTATTTCAGACATTGCATTCCTTATTTCTGACTTATTTTTTAATGGTTTCTATGTCTTTTTTTCATGCTGTTGAATATCTTTATAATCATTAAACTATCTGATAAATGGTTTATTTCCGTTTCATCTAGTTCTTTTGGAGAATTCTCTTGTTCTTTCATTTGGAGTCTGTTTGTCTTCCCATTTTTGCTGCTGCTTTGTATTTTCTGTTTTAGTTTTTCAACTCATCAGTGATACAGCCTCAAGCTGTAATGAGCAGCCTGGTCTAAGCTCCACAGGGTGGGACAGAGTAATTCTAGTGGGTGGGGCTATTGTTTCTCCTCAGGCTGATGCCATTTGGAGAGGAGTGCTCTGTGTGAGAAAGATGGCTTCTGCAGTATGGGGAATGACTCAGCACAGGGATCCTAGCAGCTATTCCTTCAGTTGTCTTCCCAGAGCCACCCACCCCAAAATCTCCTCAAACATCTCTAGTCCAGTCTGCCCTCCATCTGCCATAGCCCAGGGTAAATGGCCACAAACAAAATTTTGTGCATTGGCCCTTTAAGAGACCGACTCCAGCCATATCCAGCTGTTTCTCCCCGGAAGACAGAAACCCTGCTGCTTTTGACAGGTTGTTATCTGGGTTCCTTTGCAGTTCTGGTGCTGTAGGCTGGGTATCCCACCTTGGGGTTTAGACCCCACATTTCTCCGTGGAAACCACCTCCCACCCTGCCACTGTAATATTCCTCTGGAATTTAAGCTACTTCCCGTGGGAGCCCAGTCCAGCATCTCGTGCCTCTGCACCCCATACCATTCTTGTTGCAGTTAAATGGTTTCTTCTGTCTGTCCTTGGTTAAAAGTCTTCTCTTCAGCTAGTGTTCAGTTGGTTATTCAGTATGATTTCTCTACAATTTAATTGTAATTCCAAATTGGTCCTGGGAGGAGGTTAGTGTATTTTCCACTTACTCCTCCACCATCTTGGAACTCCCTAAACATAAATCTTAGCCAACATCTATAATTATCTAGGGTTATAGTGTTCTAATCTGTAACAACAGATTAACAATGAGTTGGGTGGATGACCTCTCACATTCTTTGATTTCTGATTTTGCAACTAACCTTACTTTTCATTCATCCAACAAATACTTTTGGGAGTAACTTCTGTATGTTAAATAGTATATTAGGGATAGCTCTATAATTTCACATTATAGGGATAGCTCTAATGTCACGTAAATTTTATAATCAACTATTCCAGATTTACAATTTATAGAATTTGTCTAATTCCATTGACTAATACTAATACTAGATTTTAAAAGAGAACTTTTGTCCTCTTTGAATGTGCTAGCTTTGAAAATATAGTCTGGAATCCTTTAATATAATATAATATATAATATAAATTCTTATACATTTATTTCAATTCTGCAGTCTTAATAATACTGATTCTAGAAAACTTTTAAGTATAAGAGCTAAGGGACATCAGCTACCAACCAAAATCATCACTTCATTTTGACGTTTGTGTATTTTAAGGAAATTGTAAATGTTTTAAACTTTACTACTTTCAGAAATGATCTGACACTTTTTATAAGTATTTCTACATTTAGATAAAAGGCTTTGCATATACCCAATTAACAAGTGAGGAAACAATTTTCCCTTTTTACATATTCAGGCACTTTTGTGGTTTTGTAGTCTCTCAGTTATTTAACATTTTTTAATAGCACAGTAAACACCTCTTTGGACATTTTCAGTTAAAACCTTTTACTTTAATCACTTTTGGTTTAATTCATGGCCAACTGTTCGCCACATTCTGTATAATATTTGGCTGAGTTTATTCACACACATTAATGACCCTTCAACAAGGGCCTACTGGTGTAGTATGGCATCAGAGAACGGCTGCCTTTTTGGTATTTCATCTGGTATTGATTAGTGCTGTCCCTCTTTCAGGAGAAATGTCAAAATGAAGCCCTGTGAAAATTTATTAATACTATTTTTTGTCCTTCAAACACTTGAACAATGTGATGATATTTAAGGAAAATTAAGTTGAATTTCAGGTCTTGCCATTGCCATTTTTAAAAAAAGGTAGAGGAAACTTGGTTTTACCTGGGTACAAACTTTAACACTCTGTCCCTGAGGTATCTGA